TTCCCACGGTTGTTGCAATTTCTAGCCAAGAATTGTTGGTCACCTGGTTATCCTTATGATCATGGATCATAAAGATGTCTGTACAGTTGTTCTGTTTCAGACAAAATCTCTTAAAGTGTTTCATATTCAACTCAAACAAGAGACTCGAGCGAAAACAAATTGTTCATTCGAGTTTCGTGAGCTCCGTCAGCCAAAATCGTCTCGCACACACCTACAGCGAACCTATGAAAACACAGCGATGATGTCACATTCGCCATGCGCACTCAGGCGAACTAAAGGACGCATTGAGTATAAACCATGCCTAATGAAATGTCTTGTCATTGAAAATAATCAAAGTTGATTTTTAGCACATCTAAATCCAATGACACACTTTGTTTTGTTTTTTATTGTTTAGGTATCTATGTATCATCAAGATGGTGTGTGAACGGACCATGGTCTGAGGAGGAGATACAAGCTGTGAAGAAATCTTTAATTTAAAATAGATATGGAAAACTTTTTGATTAAAATTTGATATGGAAAACAAACTCCCGAGGACAAGTTGAGTAAATTTCTAAAGTAAACAGTGTACTTTTTAACCACACTCATATCATCCTGACTACGGTGTTTCATCTTAACAATAAAATGAAAACATGATAGAAGGAACTGCTTATTTTCATTTTAATATTAACGTAACAGACACTGTAAATGTTGAGGTGTCGTGTAGCTACATATTTATATGATCGTCATCTTCACTGTATGCATATTAATAACAAAACAGAGCTGCTAACATAACTGACTCCTTTCATTTTCAGTGAAAATACGAAACAGCCATTTAACACATGTGTTGTGTGTTAATAATGACAATGATTATTATTTTCAAAAATCTTTGCTTAAATGCAGATGAGTTAAGTGTAGAAGTCAAACATAATGAAGTCAACTAATGAGCTAAATATATAAACATCAGTTCTGGCTGGTAACGTTAGTTAAGCTTGCATCAGCTGACTGTTACCTCATCACGTCTACATATAGGAATATGATCACTATCACAGCATACATATATTTAGCGCCTCAGTATTATCATTTGCTATCGTGTTCTCCAGAGCTCATTTACTCTCCTCCACCCCCAGCTCTTCCTCTTGTTCAGTCAGGATTTATTATTCCAATTCCCCTTGAATCAATCTAAAGTCTAAATTCCTGAATTATTCTGTACATTTGTTACCAACATATGATATCTGCAATACATTATGTTAGTTCTGTTCTGCTAACTTTTAGGGGGGTTATGACTGGTCTACCTGCTCTGTATGCATGGAGTTCTTACCCAGAACAGAACCATACCACCAATCCAAACCACAGGTGCTGATCATATAATTAGAATATCATCAAAAAATAGATTTATTTCACTAATTCCATTCAGAAGTGAAAATTGTAAATATATGCATTCTTTCCACACAGACTAAGTTTTGAGTGCTGTGCATGCTCATACATTTCATCTTCATACTTTTCAGTTGGCCAAGATTTCTAAAAATCCTTTCTTTGTATTGGTCTTAAGTGGTACTCATTTTCTGAATTTGGGGTTTTCATTGGTTGTCATCAAAATTAAAAGAATTGAACACTAGAAATATATCAGTCTATATAAGATTTAATGTATACATTATACAAGTTTCACTTCTTGAATGAAATTAGTGAAATCAACTTTTTGAAGATTTTCTAATTAAATAACCAGCCTGTATGTGCTAATAGTCAATTAATCCTCTATAAAGATGATTAAAGATAAAGTGGTCTTGACAGAGTTATAGAAATGTAATAAGGTTGTCTGACGATTGAGGTTGTTTAATTGTATTGAGACTATAAACCTACGCTATACAAACAGGACTGGTTGAATTCTGTTCATCCAAATAGTGAATTATGTTATATTATGCTTGTTGCAATCTATAAACTCTTAATTTTACATTTTCTAGCAAAGCTCATAAACCCTGATAGAGATCCTTTTTAAAAATGTAGGTTTTAACATACCCTCACTTTATGTATTTTGTGACTATATCCCAAAGTAGATAAACATGTTTTTAAAGAGTGGATTGGTAAGGAGCAAGTGTGATTGGTTATATTTGGAGAAATGAAATTCCTTTATCCATGTTGTTGTTGTTGTTGTTAGTCCACGCCACTTCTTAAGGTAGATTTTATGGGCTATAAACCAGTGGATGAAAACTTGCTCATTTTGAGGCAGGAACCGGCGGACGTACAACAACTTTAACCATGAAGTAAACACAAAACAAAACTTTCCATACGGAGCTCCTTCACGGGGCCCCACACTTGTAAACAATTGCTCCATCGGGCTCGCGCTGTTCGTGCGGCTATCGGTCCCACCCAGACTCATCAGCGCTACCAAGCTGACCAATCACAAAGCTTGTGCTATGCGTCGTTGCGACATGTAGTTACATTTTTTGAGAGGTGCACGTCAGGGCTATGCGTCAACGCGTAGGCTGCGCCGTAGTATACGCGTGCGTTTGACGCAGAAGTATAAATCAGCCTTAACTCTCCCCAAATCCTCTCCAGATCTTTCTGAATGAAACACATACTTTACAAAATCTAATCAACTCCCAGTAAAAAAAAAAAAAAAAAAAAACAAGCCACGCCCTCTGTTTACTCATTTAATATTTAATTTCTCTAGGACCTGCAATACAATACGAACAAAAAAGTGGTCGCAGCTTCCAGTTCATGCAGACATTAAATTACCTTCAGTGTGAATAAAGTCTTTACCTCCCACAATTTCCAACAGGTCGAGTGTGAATTCGGGTGCTGCGTTATCTGCCGTCCACTGCACCGCAGCGTTCAACACCCTGTTCATAACCGTCACCTTAGTATCGTGAAATATCAGGCCTGCAAAACAGGAGAAGTGACAAGAAAATGATTCATTGGAGTAAACATGCATCAAGATTATTATACAGTTTTCATTTTAATATTATCTTAAAATGGGCTGCATTTATTTTTGTGGGCAACATGGTGACTCAGTGGTTAGCACTGATGCATCACAGAAAGAAGGTCGCTGGTTCGAGTCTAGGCTGGGCCTGTAGGGTTTTTCTGTGTGGAGTTTGCATATTCTCCCCGTGTTGGGTTTCCTCCGGGTACTCCTGTTTTCCCCACAGTCCAAACATATGCGCTATAGGGGAATTGATTAACTAAGGCCCCGTTTACACTAATGCTTTTTAGTTTGAAAACGCATAAGTTTTGCTAAGGTTAAGCCATCCGTCTACACTACGCCAGAGTTTTCAAGCGCCGAAAACGAAGTGTTTGTGAAACGCTGCAGCGGCCGTTTTCATTCTAAAACGTTGCTGCTCCGTCTCAGTGTGGATGGGGGGAAAACGGAGGCAGGGCTGCTGAGATTTGCTACCTGATTGGGGCTTTTGTGTCATTGCGTATCCTTCCCTTACTCGTCAAGCCCCTATTACATGACTATAACACATGGCTTTAACGCTACCAGAAGAGAGCAGACCAGCCTTCACTGTAAACAACATGGACACAGAAATGGGAGCGTTGTTTGCACTATTGTCTGTTTTAGGCACCATTGTGCAGTTATTCATTTGTTACGTTTAGTAACAACTCGACCTCGTCATCTGTCCACAAAATTAACAATAACAACCAAATGCCAAGCGAGACACATGCTTCCTGCTTATACTAGAACGCGCATGCCCAGAGGGCGCAAATGGTCACGTGATATACGTTTTTGGTGGCTTATTGTAGCCCAGGGGTCACCAATCTCGGTCCTGGAGCGCCGGTGTCCATGCAGGATTTAGCTCCAACTTGCCTCAACACACCAGCCTGGATGTTTCAAGTATACCAAGTAAGACCTTGATTAGCTTGTTCAGGTGTGTTTGATTAGGGTTGGAGCTAAAATCTCCAGGACACCGGCCCTCCAGGAACAATTTTGGTGACCACTGGTGTAGACAAAGATATGTTCAGAAACACTAGGTGAAACGCTACTGTGGGCGCGGATCGTTTTTTATCTAAAACGCCGTTTTAAAACTAAAACTCACTAGTGTAAACGGGGCCTAAATTGCCGTAGTGTATGAGTGTGTGTGAATGTGAGTGTGTATGGGTGTTTCTCAGTACTGGGTTGAAGCTGTAGGAGCATCTGCCACGTAAAACACAGGAATAGTTGGCGGTTCATTCTGCTGTGGCGACCCCTGATGAATAAGGGACTAAGTATGGAGTTAGATTTGTTTCTTTATTATTCAATCAAAAATATTTAGTTTTAAAGAAAAAATAATTACGGAATAGTTAAAAACTAAAAGATTTCAAATTAAAAAACATGTTTAATTAAAAAACAATGTATTATCAATGGTAATAAAATATTTTGGATTACAAAAATCTAGAATCTTTGCTTGCGGGTTGAAATGTTTTGCTTGTGAGTTAAAAAGTTTTGAACCCATATACCCTAAGGTTAATGTTGTGGCTTTATTATTCAAACAAACATGAAGTTTTTGACCAAAATTAGGTACAATGCAATTAAAAAATAAAAGATTTCAAATAATAAAAAAAAAACATTAAAATAAAAAAATTACACTGCAAAAAATTAACTATTGCCATTTTATGCAGTCACCACCAGATAAATTCATTGTGTGCTCATTCATTCTGCTTTTGCTTTTGTTTCATTTTTTGCGGATCTAAAATCTTTGCTTGCGAGTTGAAAAGTTTTGCGAGTTGAAAACTGCAGCTCAGTGGGCGGCATCTTCTGAAAAACCTTATTATATTGGCCAATCTTAATTGAGGTCACAGGTTGGCCCATTACGTTTTCGCGCGATTGGACCGGCAGTGTTGCCAACTTAACTTTGTATTTTTTCTTGTTCTTTGATGCAGTCCTTCTTCTCATGCGGTCTGTAAATTATTGTCTAACACATCAATAGATGTGAAGAAAATCCTATTGTTTACTTCTGTGTCTGGAACAAAGTGCTATTATGCTTCTCTTGGATGGATATAAATTACAAGCCTGAGCTTTACTGCTGAATGAGACACACACAAGACAGTTTATTCAATTCACATTTATTGCAAGTGTTTGGCCTGCTGGGGACATCAAGTTCTTTCTGGAGCAGTGATTGGTCACTCTGGGGATGATGAGTGGAGATCGTGAGGCAGGCCTTCTCGTCTGGAAGAGAACAGAGTCAAGAAAATCAGTGTCGATGTCTAAATGAAGCTGAATTTGAGTATGAATTAACATGACCTCTGACCCACAGAGAATTCTATATATACATATGTGTGTGTGACATACAACATGTTCCAGAAGTGTTACTAAGCTCAGTCAGATGTCATGTCACTTAAATGAGATGAAATTACCTTTTAGAAAGTGTCCACACTAGCTCCTGCTCCTGAAGTAGGCATAAGCAGCACAGACACCTATGCCGACTCCGACCCAGGCTGCTGGACTGCTCACCGCAGCTTTCACAGCACTTTTCACATTGTTGGAGATCCTTCTTCCCCATGAAGACTCGCTGTTCGCTCTCTCCTCTGTTTCATCAGCGGCCTCTCTCTCTGTTTCTCTACTGGTTTTTCTCTCCTCTGTATCTCCAGCGGCCTCTCTCTCTGTTTCTCCACTGGTTTTTCTCTCCTCTGTATCTCCAGCGGCCTTTCTCTCTGTTTCTTCACTGGTCTTTCTCTCCTCTGTTTGTCTTGGAGAGCTGCTGTCATTATCTGAGAGCACCTCAATTGTCTTGTCTGGGCCCCACATGATGATCAGAGGTTTATTCAGTAAATCAGTGAAGTTCAGAGCTTTTTGTGCTCGCACTGCATCACGTCGATGATGGAAAGTCACAAAGGCATAAGCAGGAGAGATGATGTTGTTTCTGCACACTTGCACAGTCGAGATGGACCCCAATGCACCAAACTTTTCAATAAGCTGTTGTTCGGTGACCATTGGGTGCAGATTGCTCACGAGTAGTGTCTTCAGCTCAATAAAGCGGCTCGTGGGGACCACAGGATCTGGTTGCTGGTCCCGTCCTGAATGCTCAAAAGTCACATAAATGTGTCTGCAATTAGTGTCTTCATCAAAAGAAAAATCCAAAGAGTGGATTTGGCTGAACTGTTTCATTGACTCAATCAGTTCTTGTTCGTCCACATCTGGGTCCAAAGTCAGAACAACCGATGACCACTCGTGATGAGGGTTGTCTGAAGACTGATTATAGTAAGTATCCATAGCGAACGAGTCCTTCACAATCACAGATTTGTCAATTCGTACAGTCACTGTGTGATTTACCAAGTCACCGTCCTGAATGCTGGCAAACTGAGATGAGCTGTTCTAACATAGAACTACTATAGAACACATTCTATGACTGTCGTTGCTAAGCAACCATCAGCTGGGAGCGCGTGTGTGCGCACACAAACAGGATTCTAAATTGTTTATAAATGAATCTTAATCTGTTGACTATTAGATAAACTATTTATTATTATTGTTTAATCCTACAGATGATTGTTAATGTGCTGTTAATTATTATTTATTAGAAAAACCACCACTACTATGTCAATTGTTTTTATATGTCCTATTTAATGTAAACATCACAAATGCTTTGGAGATACATATGGAACATTTGTCAAGCCAATAAAATAATCTGAAAACATTGACTTTCTCTGTGTGTGTGTTGGTATTTTTAAAGTTTTAACATATACATCTATTGAAAAATAACCAGTTTCTGTTGGTTTACAGAAGCTTTTAGCAGAAACCTTTTTCTCCTCAGCTGCTTCAGTTTATTTAATGAAGGATTGAGTGCGGAACAGTTTCTTATCTGAAGATATTCGGTCACAGAACTAAACCTACCTGCAAGAGTGATTTATATTTGACTGAATAGAGTTGATAAAATAATAATATTCACGGGTGTAAAATTCCTAAATTCACCTTTCACACCATATCCCTTATTAATCTTCTGTATATACTTAGAAATAAAGTATGTATGTATGTATGTATGTATGTATGTGTATACAGTTGATGTCAGAATTATTAATCCCCCTGTTTATTGTTTTTCCCAATTTCTGTTTAACGGAGAGAAAATTATTTCAACACATTTCTAATCATAACAGATTTAATAACTCATTTCTAATAACTGATTTATTTTTTCTTTGCCATGATGACAGTAAATAATATTTGACTAGATATTCCTCAAGACACTTCTATACAGCTTAAAGTGACATTTAAAGGCTTAACTAGGTTAATTAGGTTAATTAGGCAGGTTAGGGTAATTAGGCAAGTTATTGTATAATGATGATTTGTTCTGTAGACTATCAAAAAAAATAAAGCTTAAAGGGGCTAATAATATTGACCTTAAAAAGGTGAATAAAAAATTAAAAGCTGCTTTTATTCTAGCTGAAATAAAACAAATAAGACTTTATCCAGAAGAAAAAATATTATCAGGCATACTGTGAAAATGTCCTTGCTCTGTTAAACATCGTTTGGGAAATACTTAAAAAAAAATTATAAATAAATCAAAGGGGGGCTATATATACAGCTGAAGTATAAGCATAAGCAAAATTATTTATTTATTTATAATTATATAATTATTAATTATTATTATAATTAACTTGAATACATTTACATATCTATACATAATAATTTTTATTATGTACTTAATTATTACTTGATGAATGCAGGCTCGAAATACACTTAATCACCTGCAAAACCACAGTTCAACCTTTAGATGTCAGTTTTTATGTGCCCAGTTATGTGTAACAACAATCATGTCTAATTTTTAGTCATATTCACGTTTTTATTAGCCTTTGCAGTGGAGTGTATATTTAGATATTGAGAGACTGCCTGAAAATTATTATTGGACACATACAGTTGAAGTCAGAATCATAAGCCCTCTTTTATTTATTGTTTTCTTTTTTAAATATTTCCTAAATGATGTTTAACAGAGCAAGGAAATTTTCACAGTATGTCTGATAATATTTGTTCTTCTGGAGAAAGTCTTATTTGTTTTTATTTTGGCTAGAATAAAAGCTTTTTTTTTAGTTATTTCAGTTTTTTATTGGTCTTTTGCATGACAATAAAAATTAAATATTGAGAGGTAAACAGTAATGTATTGTCCATTATTAATCCCACCCCCTAACCTCTCGTTCATTAACTCAACAAAACAATAAATACATAAATACCAAAAAAAGAAAATTAAATACATTAGAACATGACATCAGAGTAACAGAATACAGATGGGATAAATAATAATAATTAAAATAATAATAATGCATTTAAATAAATACAAAAAATGATAATAATAAAATTAATTAAAACTTTCTGATAAAATGGTTAATTTTACAGGATGCCAGCACCAGGTGTAATAGGCAGGCCTTTGATGTAGTCAAGAAAGGAATACCAAATCTTATAAAAGGAATCTAGTGAGCCAGAGAGTGAGCAATGAGCATCTCAGCATTCAAAGTCTGATACAGTAAAAAATGTCCTGTATCCACTTGTCATGTGTAGGGGAAGAAGTGTGTTTCCATTTTAAAAGTATGGCACGTCTGGCTAGAATTGTGGTAAAGGCAAGAACCTTGCTGTCACACACTGTCAAATCAGGTTCAAGGGATACACCAAAGAGGACTATCAAAGGATCAGGTGAAAATCAGTTTTTAATTTTCTTAAACACCATTTTAAGGTCAATATTATTAGCACTTTTAAGCTATATATTTTTTGATAGTCTACAGAACAAACCATCGTTATACAATAACTTGCCTAATTACCCTAACCTGCCTAGTTAACCAGCCTAGTTAAATATCTAGTCAAATATTATTTACTGTCATCATGGCAAAGATAAAATAGATCAGCTATTAGAAATGAGTTATTAAAACTATTATGTTTAGAAATGTGTTGAAGAAATCTGCTCTCTGTTAAACAGAAATTGGGGAAAGAATAGACAGGGGGGCTAATAATTCTGACTGAACAGAAGAAAGAAACTCAAACAGGTTTTAAACAAGTGGCGGATGAGGAATTTTCAGTATTTAACTGTCCCTTTAACATCTTTTACGTTTAGATGAGCATATATGAGGTTTGTGTTTATTATTTCCGCATAAAATCAGAAATCAGAAAAGTAAAATTAATGACCTTCAAGATTTTTGGCAGGAGATTTCTCAGGGTCTTTTTCATCGGGTTTGGTCTTCTCTGGAGATTTTGGCTTGAGGACGGTTGTTTTCTCACTCAGTACAGTTCTGGAGAAACAACATTTATCATATGATCTACAGTACATGATAAAATCACACATAAACTGCTATTATATACAGCATTTCATAAGAAAAGTTGCATTTTTATATGATAAGGAATGCTAGTATGAACTTAAAGGAACAATATGTATGATTTTTCATTAAAATATGCAAAAACCACTAGGACAGTGTTATATATTTTGCTGTCTTATGTACATACATTATCCAAACTAATTTTTTGTAGAATATTGACATTAAGATAGATGTAATGTGTGCTGTGTGTTCATGCTAATGTCATCACACACATTTCTGCTTTGGTTTTCTAGAAAACAGGGAAACAGCAGCGAGGCTTTAATATGTTGTGTGTTTTATTCAACTGCACATAGCAGCATTATAACAGAAGCCTAAAGCAAGTCGCACACCAGAAGCGCCGCTCGGCGCCGCGACACGGCGCGAACATGACAATTTAAAGTATCACACACCAGACACGCACATTAGAATGATATTTAACATGAAACTAATCAGATGGCGCTCTGTGGCGCGGCTGAAAAATGACCTGCGTCCTGAGCCGTGGCCGGGCGCCGCCGACAGCCGCCGACTTGCGGCGCCGGTGTGTGTATCCTGATAGAAACCGATGCTTAGAATTCTAAAATGCATGGCGCTGCGTGGCGCTTCTGGTGTGCGACCTGCTTAACATGTATTTAGTCTGATAAAAAAGGGCTGCTTCTCCATGTGATCACAAGATAAAGAACCAGAAGCGTAGGACTATGGCATAATAAAAGCTCTGCTGCTTTCCTGTGCTGAATGGTTAATACTAATAGTGTTGAATAACTTTACTCATCAACATAAGTCCTGTAGAATAATGAAGACTACAACTCCCATGACTCCACACTCAGGGTGCTTTCACACCTGTGAACAGATTCATTTGTTCCGAAAACAGGGATTAAATTGCTTCATTGTTGCTCTTTGTTCTTGGTACGGTTCACTTTCACACGGCAAAGTTTCTAAACAGACCAAAAGAGCTAAAACAAGTCATGTGTGAGTAAATTCTCCTCACATTGGTCAGTTTTACGGTTTATTTTGAAGAGTCCTGCTCTGCTGTCAGGGGGGCTGGGGGTTTGGTGGTGTTTGACAGGGTGCGCGCAAGGTGTATGAAGACTAAGGAGCGAGGAAGGATTCGGTGGGGATGGTTGAGAAGGGTGCGCAACGTATTTGTGGACTGGGAGGGTCCACTGTGCATTTGCGGGAGACTTCCGGGAGACTTGGGATGTCTGGAATGACCTCCCGCCCTACTCATAATTCTGTCTTTATATAGCCGTATGCCTATTACATATCCATAAAACACTGTGATATAGCCGGGCTCGGATCGTATTGTTCTTGTATTGTATAGCATTGTTTTTTACTACAATGGATCCGCTCCAGAGTTCATCAAATCGAGTCGAGACCACCTCATTCAGGCGATCTCAGACCGATTGTTTTGGCACGGATCCAAGCGCGACTGCTGGATTCACATATGCCAAACAAACCACGCTAACTAGGCAAACGAGACATGTTCCGAAACAAAAACTACATACTGCACCTTTAAATATTTAATCGGTCACACTTAGCAATAAGATTTCATTAGCCTCTTAAACCCCAGTGCTATTTTGGGATTTGCACTTGGATTTTGCCTACCCAAATTTAAAAGCTTCCAAAATCCACACGCAGAGGTGTAAATGCAAAAATTTAGTATCATTTTAAAGAAAACCCTTTGAATTTTCATAAAGCACCATAAAAAGTGTTTAAAATAACTGTATATGTTATCTGTGTTACACTGGAGCATTTTAAAGCCGTGATTCATCAGCGGATTGCTCATATGTCAGCTTTTATCCAAATCAGCTGATGGATGTGACTTTAAAACACAGTGTTCCTGTATACGTGGTTACACTCAGTAAACAGCGGTGAGTTCGGTAAACTGATGACCTTCATGGCCAATTGCAGTCATTTCTGTTGAGCATGTGAACACAATGGCAAATCAGCGCTGTTTAAGAAAGCGCTCAATGGCGCTCAAATGTTAGCATGAAATGGACGTTTTTAATCAGCATCACAGGCTCGTTCTGAAAACATAGTCCCGTGGACGTTTCTGGAGACCGCGAATTATGTAGCCGGAGGTACGTATGGTATGGCTGCATTAAATTTTTTTTAAACGAACGCTAACTGTGGAAGCCTTTCCCACCGCAACCAGTTTGTCCAGTTAGCTCGTCGTTTACATCAACGGACTTGAGACGCCAGACGAGGACAAGGACGGCGGGATTCGAGTCCAGGGAGGAGCGGTTCCAGAAATCAGGTAAGACAACAACAGAATCCAAAAAATAAAATGAATGAGTGAATAACAGGGTGAGAATGTGATAAAATCCAAAAACATGGTAAAAATCAACGGAGGACTTTTCTTTTTCTAGACGTCTTTTGAAAATCATTGGTTGGGTTTAGGGAAGTGAGTGGGCGGTTTAATCAAAAAATTGGTTGGGTTTAGGGAAGAAGGAGGGTGGGTCGGTCGAAAGAGGCTTCCAGTGGGTTTACGCGTGGACAGCGGGCGCAAACGGCACTAGCGGCAGAACTTACACGAGAAATTTGAGATCTAAAAAAGCGTACACAGCGGCCTCTTGTGGATTTGCGAACACCAAAAATGCATGAATAAGTACCTCCCGGGACGTATTTTGCGGTCTCCAAAAACGTTTATGGGACTACGCTTTCAGAATGAGCCTGGGTTGTTTTAAAACTTCAGTATCGATTGGTACCGAATTCCAGTATCGTGACAAAACTATAATAGCACATTTAAGACACTTCAAGACTTAATAAAAAGGAAAACAAACTGTAGAAACAAAGAAAACAGCAATGTGTTGAATGCAACATATAATGTCTAGGGTTTAGCTCCAACTTGCTTCAACAAACCTGCCAGGAAGTTTCTAGAATGCTAGTTAGAGCGTGATTAACTGGTTTAGGTGTGTCTAATTGGGGCTGGAGCTAAACTCTGCAGGACACCGGCCATCTAGGATTGAGTTTATACACCCCTGGTTGTATAAACTCAGAGCAAATTAAATGCATATCTCACCTAGCAGCTCCAAGACCTGAATGAGCACAGAAGTGGGCACCGTGTCCAGCTCATCCTCAGAGCGCTCTATGGTTTCTCCTACACTGTAGGTTAGCTGCTGTTCAGCGAAGGCCATCGCCAATGGAAACTCAAAAAGCAACGAGTGCAACACCAGCACTGCTCCAGGAGGGGGAGACAAGCCTGTGGACAGAAATATAGATATGAGCTAAAGTCAGCAGGAATGGTCTTAATGAATCTGATTGTTCACTTAGAGAATGCAAAATAATGCAGATCACTGTTAAAATAAAATAAATGTACAGTGGGGAAAATAAGTATTAAACACGCCATGTTTTACTATAAGAGCAGTTACATGGAATTGAACCAGATTTTATTAAAAACCCAAACAATACAAACATAAACATAAAACAAAACCAAAAAATATGAGTTTTGTGTAATAACAATGAAACAACACAAGAAGAAAGTACTGAACTGTTGAAACGTATTTAGTTCATTCATTTTCTTGTCAGCTTAGTCCCTTTATTAATCCGGGGTCGCCACAGCGGAATGAACCGCCAACTTATTTAGCAAGTTTGCATTTAGAACATGCAAACTCCATACAGAAACGCCAACTGAGCCGAGGTTCGAAACAGCGACCCAGCGACCTTCTTGCTGTGACTGCCTCGCCCAACATATTTAATACTTTATATAAAAGGATTTTTTGGTGATCGCAGCTTAAAGACGCCTCTCACATGGAGACTGAAGCCTCATGCGTTGCTCAAGTATGAGTTTCTCTTAGACTTCAACAGAGATTCAAAATTTTAGTGCTTCTGTGGGTCTCGTCTATTAAATCTGAGCTTTATTTTGTGTTTTCTATTGAATTCAGTTCAGATGATTGGCTGGGCCATTCTACAGCTTGATTGTCTTTCTCTGAAAGCATTTGAGAGTCTCCTTGGCTGTGTTTTGGATCACTGTCTTGCTGAAATGTCCACCCTGGTTTCATCTTTATCCCCCTGTTAATGTAGATGTTGGACTGAAGCAGCTGATGTTCATTTACACTGAGGAAGGGCAGAGGGTTGCTAAAGAACTACTGAGAGATTTCAGCTGCTGTCTGGGCTTTCCAAGTCTTTCTACACCCAATTTCTTCATGTGTTCGATTATTTTTCCCTGCATTATTTCATTTTATTGCACATCATTTAATGAATAAACAAATTGGTTTTATTTTCTTTGTATATATGGGTTTCTTAAGTTCTTACCGACATGCAGTAAACATTTCAAGTCTACAGCACCGTTAGAAATATGATTTCTGAGAAAAATGGTGACGTGTTCAATACTTCTTTCCCCCACTGTATGTAAGAGATTGTGACGTGCCCAATTTGTCATGCACTTTGTCGGTGGGGATGATGATGCTAGGATACTGGTTGGCTGTGGGTGGAGAAGTGAGGCCGGTGTTGGACGGAGAGGCGTCTAGCGGGAAACACACGGCCCCCATCAGGTTCAGCTGGCCATTACGCTGCACTTTATGACTGAATCCATACACCATCACTCGAGCCCATGGAGTTTTGAACAGAGAGGAACTAAGAGAGAGAAAAAATTTAATTAGCATTATCAAATATTTGTACAGGCGGTTCATTCCGCTGTGGCGACCCCAGATTAATAAAGGGACTAAGCTGAAATGAATGAATAAATGAATATTTGAACACAAAATGTCCTTAACACTGAAACTACTGTATTGGCCATAGCGGTCTTACCTTTCTCATATTGAACATCACATTCATTCCTATAACTGTGCGTTCACACCGAAGGTGGTGAAAACGTCAAAGGTCGCTGTTGCAGCATATCATATCATATCAGTTACATTACCACATAAAACATGCTTTCTAGCGTGAAGATGTTGCACACTTTTTATCAAATTCAATAAACAATGGAAGATCAAGTTGTATGTGGCAAGGTTATAATAGTTTTGGATTTTTCTTTAGTTTTAGTTTCTATTTCGTTTTGACTTTTTGTTTTCAAATTCAGTTAGTTTTTATTAATTTTAGAGGCAGATTTACTAGTTTTTATTAGTTTCTATATTTTAAAATGTCTTAGTTTTAGTTTAGTTTTTATTAGTTTCAGTATTAGTTTTAGTTTTTTTTTCTAAATGAGGATATTTGTTAGGTACAAGATTGAAAATCAACAGGATAAATATTGTATAATTAAAAACGCAGTCATACATTTTTTGAAACATGTATTCAGAGGACACATGAACACTATCATCTACCACAACCATCTACCCTTCCTCAAATTCAAATACAACAGCCCACAAGAAAGCAGCCCTAAATACAATATGTGTGCAAGGCTGCTTGTGAGGTTAGACGTAGTGATGGGCAGGGCCGGATTAACCAATGGGCATTATGGGCACATACTCTCCATCACGAGGAAGACAAGTAGGAATAATGAATAAGTGTGTGTATTACTGAGGACTCAGATTCCTAGAACTGGATTGGAGAGGTGTTATCCAAATCATATGCATTATAAGTTTGTAGAAGTTATACATTAAAAATACCCTTAAATATAAATTTTAGTGCTGCTTCAGTGAACTTGAACAAGTATATTAAAATCTATTAACTTCCCTTAGTTGTATTAAAAAAATTTTTTAAGTGTGCTTAAATGCTTTAAAAATAAGTTAAATCTCTGTAGACTACAAATATATGTACTGTATAACATTAATTTAAAAAAAAATGTGGGCAATACATTATAGATTACTTTTATTTAACAAATATTATATCAATATTATTTTTAATTAAACTATGGGGTGCGGTTATAGGGGGCCTACAAGACATTGTGCCCAGGGGCCTCTGATTTATTAATCCGGGCCTGGTGATGGGAAATTCAAATTTCTAACGCAGATGTTAGCACTCAACATTATGTAGTCGGCAATAGTAATTTTTTAGTCAGTTAAAACATCATCATTATCTGAAAAATGTCTTACAGTAAAGTTTTACTAACTGTAAACCCAACTGAATCATGCTTCACTTATTTAAATTTCATTACGATTGTCTGTTATGAAATAAACTTACGTTTTTTCTCCAGATCCTCTCATTTAAGCCCTCGGTTTACCCGCGCTGAAGTTGTTTTAAGTTCAGTTCAGTCATACAGCAGGCTGTACCGTTTGTGTTTGGTTCACTGAATCACGCATGCGCAGTATTATCGGTTCACCAACTCTCAATGTAACGTTACTGTTCTAATAACTGCTTGAGAGTATATATTGCATTATCTAAGAGTCAGAGGGGGTTTTAGGCTTGTTATTACGTAAGAAGTGGGTGAATGCTTACTGGAGACGCGAATCGTTTCAAATGATTCAGTTCGATTTGGTGAACTTGTTCAACCGGCTCACTTAGAAGATCCGGTTACAAAGATTCGTTCGCGATTGCGCTACAGAAATACAACCCATTATTGGGCACAAATGTGTTAAAGTAATAGTTTTAAGTCTCTGTATTTAATGCTATCACCGTGCTGCTGTCATGTCCACTTGTTTTTGTCGCGGGAGCAACAGAGAAGATGACTCGAGGAGAACCGGCTCGATCTGCCCAATGGCGGAAGGAGACTCTGAGGTCCGAAAGGGTCAAACACAAACACCTGCAGCGCGGATTATATTTACTTCTAAAATGCTTACAGTAAGATTATTTATTAAATACATTTACGAATACGAAAATGAAGAAGTTTTTTGCTATAATTCTAGTTAGTTTCAGTTAGTTTTGTATGTACACAATACAGGTTCAGTTAGTTTTAGTTTTTGTATGTGCACAATACAGTTTCAGTTAGTTCTAGTTTTTGAAAAAACTCTCGTTTTTATTTTTATTTCAGTTAATGACAATTATTTAACATTTTAGTTTTCGTTAACTATAATAACCTTGGTATGTGGTGTGGCTTTGCTTCACTTAATTTTTAAACGTGTCCATATGTCTAAAATATCCTGAAGCAGCAATAAGACAGGTTCTGTCTTGTCGCATGAGATTCTCGCTTTTTTAAAGAAAAATAAATATATATATATATCATCGATGCACATCAGAAACTCGCCAGTAACTTTTTTAATGTATGTACTTGTAAGAAAAACATTGGAAATAATTGGAAATCTGGCGTAATAATCAAACCCTTGGGAACAAGTGTGGTCGGAACCAAAGTTCACAGATTGTTTTCTGGACTCTTCTCAATCGGTGAATTTCTACATTCTGATTGCTTGCCGCCGAACCGCGTCATTGCTCATTACCATAAAGTTGACTTGATTTCAACGCTCCAACCCTCACAGTAATGCAAAAACAGTAATTACACAGCGTATAATTCATATTATTTATCAAACTCCCCATTGATGGTATAATATTAATGTTGTAGTGAAATTAACTCAGTTTATGAATATTAATAATCAACAATAACGGGTTTTTATAAAATATTTATATTCTGCCTCACCCTTCTGTCAATTCGGTTATATATATATATATATATTCATGATTCTGCCCCCTCGTCCAAGCGGACTCTCAGATTATGAATATTTATTATCAATAATAGCAAATTATTATTAATTATTTATATTCTGAATTAAACTGAATTAAACTGAGTTTTACTTTGCTGAAAAAATAAGAAAACATGGGCTCGGACGAGCCATGCAGTTACAGAAATGCGGTTTGCCCCCTCAAATGGGGGCGCACCTTTTGAAAAGCTTCTTTTGGATCTTCTACGCAGAGTTGTGCGCGCAGCTGGGTTTTAAACTGTGGTGGCATGTCAACTACTGACTGACCAATGGTCTCCTGGCAAAGTTTGAGCGGGAGATTTTCTTTGTCTCTGGACCGCTAATATGCAAAATAAGGGTCCGCCCGAAAGCATGTGAAGAGACATTAACTCAAAGCATTAAATCATTTAAGCTGTATAGATTACGATCACGCGCTACGCATCATGTGTTGTAAAATGGCAGGAGAAACCTAACGGTATTAAACACGACAGTTTTAAGAAATACATCAACATGATTCACACATTCTTAGCTGGTATAGTGTCTTAAAAAGGGCACGAGAGAGAGATTCACATGATAGAAAAGTCCGAAATGAAATACAAAGTTTACAAACACATAACATTTACTTATGGGCTGATTCAGGATTTCTGAGTCCATTTCAGCGTCGGTAGCCTTGTGTGTGTGTGTCCTTGTGTGTCTGTGTGTCTCGGGAGGAAGGGGGGACAGGAATGTCTTTTGAAGTTTGGGCAACCATCTCTGACTTACCTCTAGATAAGTGAGGTGTCACACAGGCACAGGCTTTGTGGCACCAAGAGTCATAAACCCACGCAGAGGAGACTTAGACCCCTTTATAAAATCAATACGTAATTTTATCTACGGACTGTATGTTACATTGTCTACCTTTACCCCAACCTCCCAGTAATGCAAAAACTGTAATTATTGTTGTACAGTGTCATAAAAATGACGCTATATAAATGTGGGGATCCACAGCTGTATCCCTTACTGTGCTCTTAACTCACTCTTTGAGTTGACTCTCTTTGCAGGAGACGAGCCGGAAAAGTTGACGTCCATGCTGACCTTTGACTCGGTGATGGGAATCTCCTCCAGCGTGAACTGCTCAGGCGCACTCTGGAGTACAGAGAAGATGTATTCAGCAAAAAAACATGTTAAGCATATTTTCACCAAATACACAAACATGTACATACTTTAGTATACAGGGCTGTACTAATGGGCCCACAGTGTGCCAAGAAAATATCCCCCACACCATTTCACCAACACCAGCAGCCTCAACTGCTGATACAAAGCAGGATGGATCAATGTTTTATTGATGTTGATGCTAAATTCTGACCCGACCCATACCTGTCAACCCTCCCGTTTTTTCCAGGATTCTCCCGTATTGTACTGTTCTATCCTGCTATCTTCCCGTAAAGGCATTTCCCTGTATTTTTCCCGTATTTTCAGTCTTTCTCTGAACAATGAGCCTCCCTGTATGCAACCCATACAGCCGAACCACCAGGGGTCGCCTCTTGCTCTAAAACGTGTGTCTTCTGTGCTTTCGCTAAATATTAAAAATGGCGCGATTCCATTTCCTTTTGATTACAGGTGCCGTGACGTCAGCTGACGTGCTCCATAATGATAAACAGATGCTTATCCCCAGTTGATCCCCAAACACAACTAGTTTCGTCTTAAATGAGCATAAACAGTTAGGAAAGCAGTCAATGTTTTCATTATATTGTTAGATGTGTGCATTTTTAAAGTGACACCTCTTATTTAATGTAATGAAAAAATCTGAATAAGTAAGAGGTTCATTCGTTGCTCTTTAATCAGAATGTGTAAGTCATACAGTGGAGAAACGACTAATGAGATTGATTGATAGCTTGATTCTATTTCATTATAATAGCTATTCATTTTAATAAGCTGAACTGTTTGCTAATGTATTTGATGCTAATGTATATTTTTATTTTTATTTTGTTAAAAATAAATTTAAAACATATTACTGACCATTTACCTGTTTATTTACAATGAAACAGCTCCAAATGAACATATTTAGCAATTTGTGGATTTTTTTAAGGGGGGCAGGGAGAGGGGGGGTCCCTTATTGTGGTGGGCATATCCCTTATTTTTACAGCCCAATGTTGACAGGTATGACCCGACCATCCGAATGTGGCAGCAGAAATGGAGACTCATCAGACCAGGCAACGTTTCTCTAATTTCTATTGTCCAGTTTTGGTGATCCTGTGTGAATTGTAGCCTCAGTTTCCTGTTCTTAGCTGACAGGAGTGGCACCCGGTGTGGTCTTCTGCTGCTGTAGAACATCCGCCTCAAGGTTGGACGTGTTGTGCATTCAGAGTTGCTCTTCTGCAGACCTCGGTTTAACAAGTGCTTATTTGAGTTACTGTTGCCTTTCTATCAGCTGGAACCAGTCTGGCCATTCTCCTCTGACCTCTGGCATCAACAAGGCATTTGCGCCCACAGAACTGCCGCTCGCTGGATATTTCCTCTTGTTCGGACCATTCTCTGTAAACCCCAGAGATGTTTGTGCGTGAAAATCCCAGTAGATCAGCAGTTTCTGAAATACTCAGAGCAGCCCGTCTGGCACCACCAACCATGCCACGTTCAAAGCCATTTAAATCCCCTTTCTTCTCCACTCTGATGCTCGCTTTGAACTGCAGCAGATTGTCTTGACCATGTCTACATGCCTAAATGCATTGAGTTGCTGCCATGTGATTATAAATTTACACTAACAAGCAGCTGGACAGGTGTTCCTAATAAAGTGGCCGGTGAGTGTATATTGAAAAAACATGTTTGATGTTTATGGAGTGTTATAAACTTCAAATGTGAAGGTCATGTGACGTGTTTTGTTTTTGCTGTCTTCCGAACTCCCGAAAACCTGTTTTAAGACGATGATGATGATGTGTATATGTTAGGGATGGGAAGATTAATCGATATGTATCGATACGCGGTCATGCGCGTGCACGATGCGAGTGCATCGGTAGAGCAGCAGAGGATGAATGAAATTTTGGAAGCAAATCGAGATGCATCGGTTTTTGCGAGATGCATCGGTTTTTCCAAGATACAGCTTATATTTTTAATATAGAATATATTTTTTATTTATTAACAAGTGTTGTCAACCTGTTTTTGGCGCATAATTTAATCGACCTACATAAAGTATGCCTTAGCAATGGATTTGCGGATGTGTACACTTACACTACAACTCAGTGTATCAGGTGTGCGGATGAAGCTAGTGGTGCGCCCTCAGAAAGCGCGAGAAGCAAAACAAACATTTTATTCCCCACTGAGTTTTAAATCTAAAGTATGGCAACATTATGGATTTAAGGATGGACGACTTGACAGGTAAGATGCAATTTGCAAAATGTGCCGCGCATCTGTAAATACGCGGGCAGTATGACTAATCTGAAATCTCAATTGAAGCGGCGCCACGGTGTTGTTGTGGAAGCATCTTCCAGTGTTTCTGCATCCCCGTCTTTCGCACTGCTTCAACTGTAGCTACCAGCTCCAAAAGTGGTGAGAAAAGCATTGCAAGTTTTTTTCCATGCGCAACAGTTTTGTGCGCTCTACGCCAATAACGGATGTTATGGCATTGTTCATCTGCAAAGATATTCAGCCTAGTGTCACGGAGAACGAAGGTTTTAAACACCTCCTCCTGTTAATTTGTATTTAATAATAATAATAATAATATTAATAATAATAATGATAAAAATAATGGGTGTCACGGTGGCACAGTGGGTAGTATGACCACCTCACAGCAAGAAGATTGCTGGTTTGTTATATTTTTATTAGCCTGTTGTTTACAGTGACAGTGATATTTGAAAGCAGCATAACACTGCTAGTTCACGACCTTAAGTTTTGAATATTCAGTGGCAAAATATATCTTTGTAAAACTTGTTTTCATAGTTGAAAAGTTAAATCACAATTCTTGTTGTGCAATGCTAAACCTTTATGTTGAAAGAGTGCAAATATATATATTTTAATATATATTGCACTTATACATTCTGTTTATCTTGAAAATAATTAAATAATATGTGCTATATGTTCTAAAATGGCCCTCTACTGTAAACTGACACTCTGGCTCTGAGAGAAAAGCCAGTTTGTAAAAAAAGTCTTGGTTTTGCTTGGTTTATAAATAATCAAACTCATTCAATGGCACAGCGTCCTCTTTCACATAATCTCATAAACTTGATTTAATTAGTTGGTGCTGAATTATCGCATTGTATCGTGATATGGGTGTGAATCGTATCGTGTTGCATCGCAATATGTCACAAATGTATCGCTAATATATTGGATCGTATTCTTTGTATCGAGATGCGTATCGGATCGGCATTATAGCTTAGATGCCCAACCCTATTATATGTGTGTGTGTGTGTGGTACCTGCAGGAAGCAGCAGATCTGTTTGGTGAGCTCCAGCAGACTGTTCTTCCCCTGATGCAGAGCTCTGCTGATGGCCACGCTCAGCCACTCGCGGACACTCTGAGTGTTTCCCTGAGAGCCAACCGCACAGAGTTACAGCTGATCCGGCCATCTTTACACACACACAGGAGAGTCAGCAGACAGATTATGAGAAATGACTTTATCTTTCATTCATTCATTCATTTTTCATTCGGCTTAGGCCCCATTTACACTAATGCGTTTTAGTTTGAAAACGGCGTTTTAGATCAAAAACAATCTGTCCACACTAACGTTTCACCTAGCGTTTCTGAACATATCTCCGTCCACACTATGCCACCAAAAACGTATTTCACGTGACCATTCGCGCACTCTGGGCTCCGTTTTCGGCACTCGAAAGCTCCGGCATCGTGTGGACGGATGGCGTAACCGTAGCAAAACTTATGCGTTTTCAAACTAAAACGCATTAGTGTAAACAGGGCCTTAGTCTCTTTATTCATCAGGGGTCACCACAGCAGAATGAACCAGCAACTATTCCAGCATATGTTTTACGCAGTGGATGCCCTTCCAGCCACAACCCAGTACTGTGAAGCACCCATCACATGCACACTCATACACTACAGCCAATTTAGTTAATCGATTCCCCTATAGCGCATGAGTTTGGACTGTGAGGGAAACCGGAGCACGCAGAGGAAACCCACACCAACAGGGGGAGAACATGCAAACTCCACACAGAAACGCCAACTGACCCAGCCGGGTGACAGTGCTAACTATTAAGCCACCATGTCGCCGACTTCATCTTTTGTTAACAAAAAAATTATATGAATGAAATGATAGTTTTGTAATATTATATTTTATAATAATAAATTTATATAATAATTTAATTTTATTCATTCATTTTCTTGTCGGCTTAGTTCCTTTTTTAATCTGGGGTAGCCAAAGCGGAATGAACCGCCAACTTATCCAGCACGTTTTTACGCAGCGGATGCCCTTCCAGCCACAACCCATCTCTGGGAAACATCCACAAACACTCATTCACACACACTTATACACTATGGACAATTTAGCCAACCCAATTCACCTGTACCGCATGTCTTTGGACTGTAGGGGAAACCGGAGCACCCGGAGGAAACCCATGCGAACGCAGGGAGAACAAGCAAACTCCACACAGACACGCCAACTGAGCCGAGGATCAAACCAGCGACCTTCTTGCTGTGAGGCGATAGCACTACCTACTGCGCCTTGTACTATCATAACTTTTAAAACCAACAGTATTTGTTAATATTATTTACTATTTCATGGACCTGAGCTAATGTGGACTAAAAACAAAATAACTCCTTTTAAAATGATTAATAAATAATTTTACAATATTTTGTATTTGAAGCATATCATGCAAACAAAGATACATAAATACAGTACAAAAAGTCCTTACTGTTAATGCTGCATACAGTTGAAGTCAGAGTTATTACCCCCCTGAATTATTAGCCCCCTGTTTATTTTTCCCCTAATTTCTGTTTGCTTTGCTGTGATGACAGTAAATAATAATTGAATAGCTATTTATCAAGACACTAGTATTCAGCTTAAAGTGACATAGTTAAAGGCTTAACTAGGTTAATTAGGTTAACTAGGCTGCTTAGGGTAAATAGTCAAGTTATTGTATAACAATGATTTGTTCTGTAGACTATCAAAAAATAGCTTAAAGGGGATAATAATATTGACCTTAAAATGGGTTTAAGAAAATTAAAAACGGCTTTTATTCTAGCCTAAATAAAACAAATGCGACTTTCTCCAGAAGAAAAAATATATTATCAGACATACTTTGAAAATTTCCTTGCTCTGTTTAACATAATTTGTAAAATATTTAAAAAATTAAAACAAAATAAAAAGGGGGGCAAAATAATTCTGACTTTAACTGTGAGTAATGTTAAGAAATAGGATTTAACAAATTAGAATTATGCATTAGAATTATACATTGTACATTAAAAGTAACCTCAAAAACATTCTAATCCGTCAAGTGAACAAACTAATGTGAACTAATGGGAGCTTATTGTAGAGTGCTTAAAAACACAAATGCTTCAACAACTTGTTGTTATCAAGGAAACTTACGACAGATATTTAAATAATGCTTCAATTTCAAATAAAAGAAAACTTTTTCCCTCAAACATGACATTTAGCATCTTAATAAACACTAATATACAGTGTAAAACAAAAGAATTGTTCTTTGCTATTTAATGATAGTTAATGCATTAACTAATGGGACCTTATAGTGAAGAGCTAAAATATGCTTAAACACTTTAAAAAAAGCTTAATTTCTAAATATGTGTATTTACATCATTTTTGCTCATTAGTAAATAATAATAAATTCTCAAAAAGTATTTTAAAATCTTGTCACTTTATTCTTATAAATCTTCTAACATTGCTGTTATGCATGTAAAATAGTGCTCTTCAACATATTGATATGACATTACCTGGCAGAGGCGGAGTCAGCAGCTGATTGGACAGGAGCTGCAGATATTCAAGTGTGATGTCACGCACTGCAGGGATGTGGAAGAGGTGTGTGAATGTGTGAGGACTCTTGGGGGCAAAGATGTTGAGGAGGGCCATGCGGCAGTACAGACGCGCCAGAGCACTTTCACAGCGCAGCAGCTCCCTGAAACACACACACACACACACACACACACACACACACACTAAGTGAAGTTGCATAAACTATTTTCGAGAAGAGTATGTGATATGATTGATCGCGGCTGGTCTCTCTGTAATCATTGGTAAGCCAATCGGATTATTCCAAACTCACTTTAAATACTAAATACACTTGTCCTATTATGCAGTTTCCACAATTTTCATTGCACACTCATTGATTTTCCTGACTGTTCTGCTGTCATTTATTGCACATCTAGAATCTTTGCTTGCGGGTTGAAATGTTTTGCTTGTGAGTTTGAAAGTTTTGAACCCATGTACGCTGAGGTAAATTTTGTGTCTTTATTATTCAAACAAAAATGAATTTTTTGACCAAAATTAGGTACAATGCAATTAAAAAATAAAAGATTTCAAATAATAAAAAAATATTAAAATAAAAAATTCACACTGCAAAAAATTAACTATTGCCATTTTATGCAGTTACCACCAGATTAATTCATTGTGTGCTTATTAGTTCTGCTTTTGCTAAAATCTTTGCTTGCGAGTTGAAAAGTTTTACGAGTTGAAAACTGCAGCTCAGTGGGCGGGATCTTCTAAAAAACCTTATTTTATTGGCCAATCTTGATTGTGGTCACAGGTTGGCCATTACGTTTTCGCGCGATTGGACCGGAGTCACCGGCAGTGTTGCCAACTTAGCGACTTTGTCACCAAAATATTTTATTATCATTGACATAAGTTTTTTAATTAAAGGTGTTTTTTACTGGAAATCTTTTATTTTTTAATTACTACGTCATAAATTTTTCTTTAAAACTAAATATTTTTGATTGAACTGAAAAAAGAAACAAATCTAACTCCATAACTAAGCCGAAGGAAAATGAATGAATAAATAATGCAATAGTAAATGATGAACAATGATTAATAAATACTTTACAAGACTATTCATCCTTGGTCGACATTACTAAATACATTAAAAAGTGGACCATTATTCTAAAGTGTTACCGGATTAACAATAATTAAGATTATATTTGAACGCCTGTTATTTGAATACTGACCTTTGGCCTCACACAGAAGCGTGGCGATGCTGTTCTGGTAGGTCTGTGTGAGTCTCAGCTCCACTAAAGGCAGAAAGAAGTTCTCAAGTTTGCTGTTTAGAGACTGTAGCAGAGCAAAGCGCAGATGCAAACTCTCCACTGGGACACCTGTGGGGACACGATCACATTCACTGCACATCCATCCTTTTTTTCTTTTTTAAATGTTTCCCTAATGATGTTTATCAGATTCAGGAATTTTTAATTTTTTATATATATATTTTTCAATAATATTTTTTCTTCTGGAGAAAGTCTGATTTGTTTTGTTTTGGCTAGAATAAAAGCATTTTAAGGGCAATATTATTAGCCCCCTTAAGCTATATTTGGTTTGGATTGTGAACAGACCACTGTTATACAATGAGTTGCAAAATTATAACTTAAACCTAATTACCCTAGTTAAGCCTTTGAATGTCACTTTAAGCTGATTACTAGAGTCTTGAATATCTAGTCTAATCTTATGTGCTGTCATCATGGCAAAGAGAAAAGAAATATGTTATTAAAAATGAGTTATTAAAACTATTATGATTAGAAATGTGTTGGAAAAATCTTCTCTCTGTTAAACAGAAATTGCAGGAAAAATATACAGGGGGGTTAATAACTCTGACTTCAGCTGTATAAAATAATAATAATAATAATAATAATAATAGACAGCCCTTGAGAGGCTTTTGCATCTGAACTCTTCATCTGTGAACACGATAACACAGAGATGGACTTGCTTAACAGACACGCAACCTCAGGATCGGCGCCATTTTTGCTGGGGACCAGGTAAACCTCACGTGGATGCAGACGGGCAGGAGTGATGGCCAGGTGACGGCTGAGACGGTTCACAAACTGCACCAATGCAAAGTCCATCTCAAAGCTCCATTTTCTGCTGGCTTTTTGAGCATGTCGGGAATCAATGCATGTGCATCTGGAGGGAAAATAAAGTATTTTTAGGTGTTTACAAACTAGTGTCCAGCTGTGGGGTTTTGGAGACATCTGCACCACAATATGGGGCATAAGAACAGGACGTGTGTAGATATAACTTACCACACTTCATTATTACTGTTCATTTATTCCTTTGCTGGAGATTAGAACTAAATTAGAAATAGTTTTAAAGCAAATCTTTGCGCTTAAACTAAATTAAATATGTTGGCTAATGGATGTGTTCAGTGGAGTGAGTTTCCACCATTTCCTTACTGCATTAAAGTAAAGGAGTAAAGAGTAAAAGTAAAGTGAAGAGAAAGTAAAGAGGCTAAATGGAGGAGGCTGGTTCTTTATCCTCGCGCTGCAGATGCTCTGTTTAACTGTTTTTACTAGTGAAGCGTTCAGTTTTTACACTAACAAAGTCCGGCATGTAAATAGCAAATGCACCATATCCATATATATATATATATATATATATATATATATATATATAAAAAGAAAAAGAAAAAAAAAAAGCTGATTATGGCATAATTGGTCTCAACACTCTCAGGACCACTAGGAAATACATTAAGACCTGATGATACTTTTTTTGTTATTTAAGTTATATAATTAGTTATTTTTATTTATTATTATAATTGAATTTATTGAATTTGATTTTATTTGACAGATTTTAGACAAGCTGTACAAAAGTACAAGAATCCCATACATTCTGAAATAAAAACTGTCGAGGATAAAAACCCAATAAAGCCCTGGACTTGTTTCCATTGCATTCCTCACAGTTAAATAAAACAAAGTATGGCTTCAAAATAAAGGTGATGCATAAAACAAACAGGACCTCCACCTTTTTTAACAGGAACAAAATAATTCACAAATACAATTATTCCTTCATTCATTCATTATTCTTTTCGGGTTAGTCCCTCTATTAATCAGAGGTCGCCACAGTGGAATGAACCGTCAACTTATCCAGCATACGTTTTATGCTGTGGATGGCCTTCCAGCTGCAACCCTATTCACAATCAAGTAACATATCAAATAAAACATCCTCGTCCACTATGCAAACTAATTATTCTCATCAAACAATCATCTTTTCATAGCTTTTCTGAACCTCCTTAAGTCAATTATTTGGTAATTTGTTCCACATGATTGCACTTGTATATAAAAACGTATTTTTCCCCACTACACTTCTAAATTTAAATAAACAAATATTAAAATCTAAACCCCTAGTACTGTATGAATGCTGTTGCCTCACCATTTGAAAACAGTTTACCAAATAACTAGGAACCACATTATTAAACATTTTACGTACCATTCCCAGTTTTAAAAAACATTAGTGCTGTCAATCGATTAAAAAAAATTAACTAATTAAACACACTTTTTGTTTTGCAATTAATCACACAAACATATTGTCTTCTTTTAAGAAATAATATGCCAAAATGAAGTGAGTGTTTAATCTTGTTTTTCGATTTGTGATAAGGTTATTTTGCTTACCCCATTGGCAGATTATTTTGCTTGATTTGAGGAAAAACTCACTTCATTTCGGCATATTATTTCTTAAAACAAGACAATATCTTTTGCTTGTCTAGAAAATGCTTCTTGATTTAAGAACTTTTAGATATTTGGACTAGAAACAAGACAAAAAGTAAGAAAAGCATTTTTTGCAGTGAACACCAAAGACTAATTCTTACAGGGACTTTGGTCACACCATCTCTATACATTTAAACAAGGGATACGGATGGCGACATCGAATGTTTAGGCATTTGTTCTTGTTTCGAGGAAACGCACGTGCGTGCACACAGACACAGAAACAGACAGACAGACACACACACACACGTTTGTTTTTGTGAAAAGCGGGGACATTACATAGGTTTCCATACATTTTATACTGTCCAAACCGTATATTGTATTGCCCTCACCCCACCCCACCCCTAAACCCAACCATTACAGGAGACAGTGTGCAGCTTTACTCTCTGATTAAACTCATTCTGTGGGATTTATAAGCATTTTGAGAAATGAGGACATCACCAATGTCCTCATATTTCACCTCCTTTTTGTAATACCTGTGTTATATCCATGTCATTATACAGATTTGTGACCTGATATGTCACAAAAACACACACGCACACACACACACGACACACGCAGGACAGAACAGCCGGAGCTACTCCCTTTAAATTCAACACACATGATCTTGTTCATCAAATTTGCTTAAACTAAGCGTTCTACAGTATGGCTATATTTCACAAGGATTCTGACAGAGCAACGTGAAGCAGACGCTTTACAAAAGTTGCGTTTAAAGGGGAAACACGACAGAATGCACTGTCTTTGACAGCTCGCGATATCAACTGAGTACATTTACACGGACACCATTACTCCGCTTTTAATATGATTAAGATAATACTCTTATTAAGAGACGACCATGTAAACAGCATTTTGATTGTAATTTTCCCTTCATATTCTGTGAGCAGCTACTATACCAAAATGAGGTAGCATAATTAAAATAGGGTTGAATCAAAGCTCCTGCCAATAATTTTAAAGAATGAACATCTTTTGAACAATGAAGACTTTTGTATGTAAAGCTGCCTCCAAAACCTTCTGAGTAGTAATGAGATGCCAATGTCTTCATAAAACAGCAAATTTCATGAAAGCATTGACCTAAAATGAATGGTATGGCCTGTTGCCAATTAAAGAAAAGCAAAAACTGTGCCGAGTAGTAAAAATTGCCAGTGCAATTTTAGGTAAAGCACAAAGACAACCAAATAAAATGTACTTAATGAGAATTAAACAGAAAGCACACGTCATTCTTGAAGATTGTTGCCATCCCTTGAATATAGCATCTAGGCTTTTGCCATTAAAAAGGCGTCTTAGACTGTCACAGTCAAATAAATGTTCAGATGGATCCAAGTGCGAGTGAAAAATAATATTTATTTGACACAGTCAAAATAAATGCAAGGAGTGAGTGCGGTGCTAGGACTAGGAGAAAACAGGGCAGGGATCAGGCAGGAAAACAGGGTCCAGTGGTAACTCCTCACGGTCCTGAGCACAGACAAATGCACACATAAGCACACGTAACGAACTGACAAGGAAACACAGAAAATGTCGCCCATATATAGGCACGATAATGAGCCTCAGCTGGCGAGCTAATCAAACTAGCTGAGTGCCGTCATAACACATGACCAGAACAAATACACGTGGACAACAAAAACAAAACAAACCCACGATCAAACAGACACTCCGGAAGAGCGCACAAACCTGCAACCGTGACAGACTGCCCCAAGTAAAGAAAACTGTGTATCAAATGTCCTTTGTGCCGACTGCCATTAGAATTTCATTAATAATTGAGTTTTTAATGTGGTTTATGTGATGATATTGAATGTATTTGTGTTGCCTGTTTTTCTGTGATATATGTGATGTGAGCGCTGATGTGGTGAAGCCAAAGATCATTTTAAAACCTGCAAACCTGTCAAAGTGCAGGTCATATCCACAGGCCAGGATCGCCCGCCAAACACTGCGGATGTCCTGCTTGGCTCTGTCTAGAGTAAACTTGTGGAAACCTTCCAGCGTCAAAAACTTCTCTTCTGGCACTGTTGAGAAACATCGAGATAAGAGCAGATCATTCACACATTTGATCGAGCGCCTGCTTGAAGTTTTCATAGGATGTGCACACACCGACCTTATTTTCAATCACTTACTTTTAGATTCTTACTAAGGAATATACAACTAAATACAAAACCATTTGCCTATCTGTGAAATCATTTTTCAAAATTAACTCTTATACATAATTATTTTATAATTCTATGGAGACGGTGGATAATATTTCCTTAGCTATTTCTCTAGATAGTAGTATTCAGCTTAAAGCAACATTTAAAGGCTTAACTAGGTTAATTAGGTCAATTAGACAAGTCATTGTATAACGAACTTAAAATTCTGTAGCCAATCAAAAAGCTAGCTGACAGCTCTCACATTGTCGCCCACTGAAGCTAAGCAGGGCTGTGCTCGGTCAGTACCTGAATGGGAGACCACATAGAAAAGCTAAGTTGCTGCTGGAAGTAATGTTAGTTTCTAAATGAGGTCCCGACTCTCTGTGGTTGTTAAAAATCCCAGGGGATTTAAAAAAATGTTGGGATTTTACCCTGACATCCTGACCAAATTTGGCCTCCTAACCATCCCCATATTATAATTGGCTTAATCTTAATATTAATCTGTCTCCTCTCCACCAATCAGCTGATGCACAATATGGCTGCCGTAAAATGCTATATAAATGAAAGGAAGTAAAATATATATTTATTACAGGGGGGCTAATATTATTGACCTATTTCCCAGTTAAACTAAGACAAATAAGATTTTATCAAGAGTGTTTTAAGCTATTTCCTAATCACTCATATATTGCCTGATTACAGTGGTATACAGTAACATGCTTTTATGATGAACTACCATATACTGTCAAGTCATTTCCACTTAACATTTCGGAAATCAATGCATGTGCATCTGTGGGGGGTAGTAGTACCAAATTTTTTGGTAGTAGTTTGGTAATACATGCTTCAGTGAACTAAATGTAAGAATGTATTTAAATAACATCTAATTTATTAATAAAATGCATAAGTTTTCAGTGTTTTGAGGGATATTTAGTGACTTTTAGAGGTTACTGTAGGTCAAACTATACAAATTATGTGTCCATTTTTATTTTTTATTAGGCTACATGCAGATATAAACACTTACAGTATTTTACAAGAAATGTGTTTTGTGAATACTTGAGATGGTATTGGTCCTCAAGAGCTGCTATTTTCAGACAGTTGAATGATATTTTCCTAGCATTGATTGGCACGATTATTCATTTACAACTCTATGAACCGCTCAAATCTATATTTACATTATACTTTTTTATTAATATTAAGGACATAGATCAGAGAAAGCATTTTCTTACTATTAACATGCTGACCCACCTCTCATACATCTTGTTTTCAAGTCCTTCAGAGGGGATCAAGCAATATTGGAGGGGGTCAAACCCTCCCCAAACCCCCTGTAATTTGCACATTGGTTATTCACACACTGCTGCCACACAACTGTTTAAACTACTTATAAAAGTGATTTAGCATAATAGGCCCCCTTTAAGACCGTATCACTTCAGGCCAATAGGTGGCAACAAGTCAATATCTACATCATACAATATACTTCAAATCATTTCCACTGAAACATGCATGTTTAACCACATTTCTTAAACAAATCACATATTTTAAGCCAGCGTTTAAAGGACAGTTCACACAGAAATGAACATTTACTCATCATTCACTCACACACAAGTGGTCTCAAACCTTGAATTTCTTTCTTCTGTTGAACACAAAAGAAGATATTTTGAAGAATGTTGTAAAAGAAAAACAGCCAAACTTTAATTTGATGGTCAGTTTGTTGAATTTAAGTTACATTGCATCTACAGTACATGCCAACTAATTCTCATTAGACTGTTGGGTTGGGGTTAGGGTAAGTTGACATGCACTTGCAAAGTTTCTTATAGTCAGTTAAATGTCTGTTGAAGGAGCAGAATCAGCAGATATTAAGCAGACAGTCTACTAATACTCAAAATAAAGATGATCTAACCATCAAAATAAAGTGGTACAGAAAAAACCCACAATAGTAGGAACGAAAAATAATATAGAAGTCAACAGAGGCTTTTTCCCAACGTTAACTCTCTCTGTTTCCCCACTGGTTTTTCTCTCCTCTGTATCTCCAGCGGCCTCTCTCTCTGGGAAAAATGTTCCAGAAAAACGTTCCGAATATCTTCCTGTACAGACATTATTAGAACCCACTGTACATTATAATTGAAATCCTGATTTGCAATTCTACATTTGATTGTTCTTTGATGCAGTCCTTCTTCTCATACGGTCTATAAATTATTGTCTAACACATCAATAAATGTGAAGAAAATCCTATTGTTTACTTTTGTGTCTGGAACAAAGTGCTATTATGCTTCTCTTGGATGAATATAAATTACAAGGCTGAGCTTTACTGCTGAATGAGACACACACAAGACAGTTTATTCAATTCACATTTATTGCAAGTGTTTGGCCTGCTGGGGAAATCAAGTTCTTTCTGGAGCAGTGATTGGTCACTCTGGGGATGATGAGTGGAGATCGTGAGGCAGGCCTTCTCGTCTGGAAGAGAACAGAGTCAAGAAAATCAGTGTCGATGTCTAAATGAAGCTGAATTTGAGTATGAATTAACATGACCTCTGACCCACAGAGAATTCTATATATACATATGTGTGTGTGACATACAGCATGTTCCAGAAGTGTTACTAAGCTCAGTCAGATGTCATGTTACTTAAATGAGATGAAATTACCTTTTAGAAAGTGTCCACACTAGCTCCTGCTCCTGAAGTAGGCATAAGCAGCACAGACACCTATGCCGACTCCGACCCAGGCTGCTGGACTGCTCACCGCAGCTTTCACAGCACTTTTCACATTGTTGGAGATCCTTCTTCCCCATGAAGACTCGCTGTTCGCTCTCTCCTCTGTATCTCCAGCGGCCTCTCTCTCTGTTTCTCCACTGGTTTTTCTCTCCTCTGTATCTCCAGCGGCCTCTCTCTCTGTTTCTCCACTGGTCTTTCTCTCCTCTGTATCTCCAGCGGCCTCTCTCTCTGTTTCTCCACTGGTTTTTCTCTCCTCTGTATCTCCAGCGGCCTCTCTCTCTGTTTCTCCACTGGTCTTTCTCTCCTCTGTATCTCCAGCGGCCTCTCTCTCTGTTTCTCCACTGGTCTTTCTCTCCTCTGTTTCTCCAGCTGTCTCTCTCTCCTCTGTTTGTCTTGGAGAGCTGCTGTCATTATCTGAGAGCACCTCAATTGTCTTGTCTGGGCCCCACATGATGATCAGAGGTTTATTCAGTAAATCAGTGAAGTTCAGAGCTTTTTGTGCTCGCACTGCATCACGTCGATGATGGAAAGTCACAAAGGCATAAGCAGGAGAGATGATGTTGTTTCTGCACACTTGCACAGTCGAGATGGACCCCAATGCACCAAACTTTTCAATAAGCTGTTGTTCGGTGACCATTGGGTGCAGATTGCTCACGAGCAGTGTCTTCAGCTCAATAAAGCGGCTCGTGGGGACCACAGGATCTGGTTGCTGGTCCCGTCCTGAATGCTCAAAAGTCACATAAATGTGTCTGCAATTAGTGTCTTCATCAAAAGAAAAATCCAAAGAGTGGATTTGGCTGAACTGTTTCATTGACTCAATCAGTTCTTGTTCGTCCACATCTGGGTCCAAAGTCAGAACAACCGATGACCACTCGTGATGAGGGTTGTCTGAAGACTGATTATAGTAAGTATCCATAGCGAACGAGTCCTTCACAATCACAGATTTGTCAATTCGTACAGTAACTGTGTGATTTACCAAGTCACCGTCCTAAATGCTGGCAAACTGAGATGAGCTGTTCTAACATAGAACTACTATAGAACACATTCTATGACTGTCGTTGCTAAGCAACCATCAGCTGGGAGCGCATGTGTGCGCACACAAACAGGATTCTAAATTGTTTATAAATGAATCTTAATCTGTTGACTATTAGATAAACTATTTATTACTATTATTTAATCCTACAGATGATTGTTAATGTGCTGTTAATTAATATTTATTAGAAAAACCACCACTACTATGTCAATTGTTTTTATATGTCCTATTTAATGTAAACATCACAAATGCTTTGGAGATACATATGGAACATTTGTCAAGCCAATAAAATAATCTGAAAACATTGACTTTCTCTGTGTGTGTGTTGGTATTTTTAAAGGTTTAACATATACATCTATTGAAAAATAACCAGTTTCTGTTGGTTTACGGAAGCTTTTAGCAGAAACCTTTGTCTCCTCAGCTGCTTCAGTTTATTTAATGAAGGATTGAGTGCGGAACAGTTTCTTATCTGAAGATATTCGGTCACAGAACTAAACCTACCTGCAAGAGTGATTTATATTTGACTGAATAGAGTTGATAAAATAATAATATTCACGGGTGTAAAATTCCTAAATTCACCTCTCACACCATATCCCTTATTAAGCTTCTGTATATACTTAGAAATAAAGTATGTATGTATGTATGTATGTATGTATGTATGTATGTATGTGTATACAGTTGATGTCAGAATTAATAATCCCCCTGTTTATTGTTTTTCCCAGTTTCTGTTTAACGGAGAGAAAATTATTTCAACACATTTCTAATCATGACAGATTTAATAACTCATTTCTAATAACTATTTTTTTTTCTTTGCCATGATGAAAGTAAATAATATTTGACTAGATATTCTTCAAGACACTTCTATACAGCTAAAGTGACATTTAAAGGCTTAACTAGGTTAATTAGGTTAACTAGGCAGGTTAGGGTAATTAGGCAAGTTATTGTATAACGATGGTTTGTTCTGTAGACTATAAAAAAAAATAAAGCTTAAAGGGGCTAATAATTTCGACCTTAAAAAAAAATCTGCTTTTATTATAGCTGAAATAAAACAAATAAGACTTTCTCCAGAAGCAAAAATACTATCAGGCATACTGTGAAAAAGTCCTTGCTCTGTTAAACATCGTTTGGGAAAAATAAAAAAAATAAAAAAAATTAAAGGGGGGCTAATAATTGGCTTCATCATTCTGTCTTCAACTGTATGTATGTATGTATGTATGTATGTATGTATGTATGTATGTATGTATGTATGTGTGTGTGTGTGTGTGTGTATATATATATATATATTTATATTATTATTATTATTAACTTGAATACATTTACATATGTATACATAATAATTTTTATTATGTATTTAATTATTATTTGATGAATGCAGGCTCGAAATACACTAAATCACAGTTCAACCTTTAGATGTCAGTAGTTATGTGCCCAGTTATGTGTGACAACATTCATGTCTAATTTTTAGTCATATTTACGTTTTTATTAGCCTTTGCAGTGGAGTGTATATTTAGATATAAATACCAAAAAAAGAAAATTAAATACATTAGAACATGACATCAGAGTAACTGGATACAGATGGGATAAATAATAATAATTAAAATAATAATAATGCATTTAAATAAATACAAAAAATGATAATAATAAAATTAATTAAAACTTTCTGATAAAATGGTTAATGTTACAGGTTGCCAGCACCAGGTGTAATAGGCAGGCCTTTGATGTAGTCAAGAAAGGAATCCCAAATCTTATAAAAGGAATCTAATGAGCCAGAGAGTGAGCATCTCAGCATTCCAAGTCTGATACAGTAAAAAATGTCCTGTATCCACTTGTCATGTGTAGGGGAAGAAGTGTGTTTCCATTTTAAAAGTATGGCACGTCTGGCTAGAATTGTGGTAAAGGCAAGAACCTTGCTGTCACGCACTGTCAAATCAGGTTCAAGGGATACACCAAAGAGGACTATCAAAGGATCAGGTGAAAATCAGTTCCCCTTCGGGGGGAACTTCAGCACTATAAGTGGATTTGATTGTAAAATCCACGCATTGGGGAGGTTCGGTTCAGAAGCTACTCGTCTGAAAGAGTATTGAACGGGCCAATTAAGAATGAATTGGCAGCGCAAGCCTGCGCAGGTGAGCGGCATAAGCAATCAACTGAGTATATAAGCTCACCTGGCGCCAGCAGACGCTATCCTTTTCGCTTCAGAGACTTTCTGATCGAGTCGATGAGGGTTCCTCCTGCTGTGACCAGCGATTCTGAGCGAACGAGAGCATTCTCCCGGTCCAGAGTGTGTACACGCAGTGGCAGACGGTCGAGCTGGGTTTCTCCCTTGCCTGGCGTTCTTTGGGTCCGGTCCTCCAGAGCGGTGCGTATAAAGTTGCAAACTTCACAGAAAGAGCAACACAGTCGTGCAGCACGTCCTTATCAGGACGGCGCTCCGACTGTGCGTTTCTGGATGCGGTGGTTTCCTGTCCTCGGATGATGGGCGCGGGCACTGCGTTACATGTCTGGGGGTCCAGCATGTTAATGCGCTGCTCGCGGGCAGTTCATGTCGTCATTGCGATGCCATGACTGTTGCGCAAGATCGCGGTTAGCCTTTGCAAAAGGGCGAACCACCCCAGTTGTCCCCTGCTCTGCAGCGGGCACTCGGGCAGATCTGAGGGTTTCAGCGAGAGATAATCCGTCGCCCACGGGCCCGCGGACCTCCCGCTCCTCTAAGCGCTCCATCCAAGCTTCGGGCGGGGGAAGCGATCCGTCTAACAGATGGTAGCCCTTACGCCCGATGACACCGGAGACCAGATGTCCACCGCGGCATCGGAGGGTGGGCTTTCATTGTCCGATGATGATCCAGACCCGCTCGCCCCCTTCGGGCTGGTGAGCGCTGTCACTACGGATCCTGAAACGGACATGTTAGCCGTGCTTTCCCGGGCTGCTTCGGCCGTGGGTTGGAGATGGTTTATCCCCCAGCTCCGCGGCCGGACCGACTAGAGGGGCGTTCCCTTCTTCCCGGAGGTGCACAGTAGGCTCACGCGGTCTTGTAAAGCACTTTTTTCTGCTCGTGCTGCGTGTTCCTCCACCCTAACCACTCTTGACGGTGAAACAGCCAGGGGGTATGTGGCGATTCCTCAGGTTGAGTGCGCGATGGCGGTAAATCCGCGCGGCGCCTCTTCTTGGCGGGGTCCGCCTCGTCTCCCATCCAAAGCCTGTAAGTTATCTACCTCCCTCGGAGCTAGAGCTTACATAGCTGCGGGCCAGGCTGCTTCCGCCTTGCATGCGATAGCCACCTACCAGCGCTACCAAGCGCAGGCGCTGGCCGAGCTGCACGAGGGTGGGTCCAACCCAGGCTTACGAGCTTCGCACCGCCGCCGACTTAGCTCTTCGGACTACTGAGTCCGCTGCGTGTGCGTTGGGGAGGACGATGTCCACATTAGTGGTCCAGGAGCGCCACCCCTGGCTGATATGCGCAAAGTCGACAAAGTCCGCTTTCTTGACTTCCCCATATCCCCAGCCAGGTTCGGCGACACTGTCTGTGAATTCACCCAGGAATTCAAGGCGGTGAGAGCAGTTGGTGGGTGATGTCTTATCGGCGGTCCGTAGCCCGCTCCGCCCGCCGTGCCATTCATACCTGCTCCTCGCCGAAGGCGCCCGCCTACGAGAGCTGCTCCGCCCCCGCACACGCCTCCGGCGAAGCGAGCACGTCGGGCACCTCGGAAGCAGGCAGCCCCCCTGCCCAGAACGCCGCTAAGTCCGGCAACGGACCGCGAAGCACCCCTGGGACAGGCCATCTGGAGAAGAGGGAACTTGCTCTTTCCCCGCTGGAGGGCGGGGCCCCATTTCCAACGGCACTTTTTACTGCCATGAAAACATTATGAAAGGGCACTTTTCACTTCCCCAGATGTGACAGCCCGAAATCTGCCAGTCTGGGACGCTATGCTTTCTAGCTTGCAGATTCGGTGCGTTTCGCCAGTGGCTCACGAGCGCTGGGAGGACGGTCTCCTTTCTCCCACCCCTCGAGCCTCCCCTCCGGAGCTCGGGTTTGGAGTGAGAGCAAATATCTCACCTCCAGCTTTTCCGTGGGACCCGCGAGCTTCCCGGATCAGCACACCCACTCCGCGCTGCCCCACTGCTGGTACGTCAGCGATTGTAGCGATGAGTCCATTAGCGAGAGCTCTGCCTGCCTGGTTAGCGCGGGCCAGCTCTTCGCGGTGGCTCATACGCACAATCAGACTCGGCTATGCGATTCAGTTCGCGAAACGGCCCCCCAAGTCACGGGTGTGTATTCACCAGGGTCAGCCCCCTGTCCGCCCCTGTCTTGCGAGAGGAGATTGCTGTCCTCCTGGCGAAGGATGCAATCGAGCCGCTCCCTCCAGCCGAGATGGAGAGCGGGTTTTACAGCCCACACTTCATCGTGCCCAAAAAGAGTGGTGGGTCACGGCCAATCCTAGATCTGCGCGTTTTGAACCGCTGCCTGCACAAGCTGCCGTTCAGAATGCTCACGCAGAAGCGCATCCTCCGGTGCGTTCGTCCTCTGGGTTGGTCTGCAGCATTAGACCTGATGGACGCGTATTTCCATGTCTCCACTCTTCCTCGCCACCGACAGTTTCTGCGGTTTGCGTTTGAAGGTCGAGCTTGGCAATACAAAGCCCTCCCCTTCGGGCTCTCTCTGTCTCCGCGGGTCCTCACCAAGCCCGCGGAGGGTGCCTCAGCGCCCCTTCGGCTCGCGGGCATCTGCATACTCAATTTCTTTACGACTGGCTGGTTTTTGCCCTCTCTCGGAGCAGTTGATTATGCACAGAGACAAAGTGCTCTGGCACTTCCACCTGTGGGGGTTTCAGGTCAACCGAGAAAAGAGCAAACTCGCCCCCGTGCAGAGGATCTCTTCTCTCGGGCTGGAGCTGGACTCGGTCACCATGGCAGCGCGCCTCTCCGGAGAGCGCGCTCAGCTGATGCTGTACTGTCTGAAAGAGCTCGACAGTAAAATAGTGGTCCCACTGAAACTATTTCAGAGGCTCCTGGGGCATATGGCATCCGCAGCCGCTTCATGCCGCTCGGATTATTCTATATGAGACCACTTCAGCACTGGCTTCACGATCGAGTCCCCAGACGCGCATGACACGCGCGCGCACACCGAGTCTCTGTTACTGCGCTGTGTCGCCACGGCCTCAGCCTTTGGAGCGACCCCTCGTTCCTACAGGCCTGGGTGTCTCTAGAACAGGCGTCCAGTCTTGTTGTCGTTTCAGCAGACACTTCCAACACGGGCTGGGGGGCTGTGCATTGCGGGCATGCGGCTGCGGACCTGTGGAAAGGTACCCAGTTGCATTGGCATATCGCCTGGAGCTGTTGGCAGTGTTCCTCGCTCTCCACCGTTTTTTTCCGGTGCTGGAGCGGCAACACGTGCTGGTCAGGACGGACAGTACGACGGTGGTGGCGTATATCAGCCGTATAGGGGGTATGCGCTCTCGCCGCATGTCTCAGCTCGCCCGCCGTCTGCTCCTCTGGAGTCATCCGCGGCTGAAATCGCTGCACGCCAGTCATATTCAGGCAAGCTCAACCGTGCAGCCGATGCGCTCTCACGGCAGCCTTGCGTCCTGGAGAATGGAGACTCCACCCCGAGTCTGTTCAGCTGATATGGGCGCGATTCGGGGAAGCCCAGATCGATCTGTTGCTTCCCCCGAGATCGCTCATTGCCAGTTGTTCTTTCCCTGACCGAGTGCTCTCGGCACGGATGCACTGGCTTACAGCTGGCCTCGGGGCACGCGCAAATACGCGTTTCCCCCAGTGAGCCTGCTCGCGCAGTTACTGTGCAAGGTCAGGGAGGACGAGGAACAGGTTGCTGGTTGCGCCCCTCTGGCTCAACCGGACCTGGATGTCAGAGCTCTCCCTCGCGATAGCCCTCCCCTGGCAGTCCCTTCGAGAGAGCACCTACTCTCTCAGGGACAGGGCACCACCTGGCACCCTCGCCGATCTTTGAAGAGATTTTTAGACGCGAGGAAGACTTAGGTAACCTCCGATTGCGGTGGCTAATACCGTCACTCGGGCTAGAGCCCCCTCCCCGAGCGCGCCTATGCCCTGACGTGGAGTCTATTCACTGAATGGTGTGTCTCTCGCTGAGAAGACCCCCGTAATTTGCCAGATCAGCGTTGTGCTTTCTTTACGCCGAGAGAAGTTGGAGAGCAGGCTGTCGCCCTCCACACTCAAGGTTACGTGGCTGCCATCTCCGCTCTCATAACGCGGTGGCTGGCAGCACCGTGGGAACGCATAACCTCATCATCCGGTTCCTCAGGGGCGTTAAGCGAATTAATCCACCCCGCCCCCTCTCATGCCCTCTTAGGATCTCGCCCTCGCTACACAAGCCGCGTCAGATCCCTTCGATCCTCGACTCAGTATCTTTCTGTCCCTGAAGACAGCTCTGCTGGTCGCGTTGATATCGATTAGAGGGTCGGGGACCCGGAGGCATTTTTCGGTCAGTGACTCGTGCCTGTAATTGGACTGGCTTCTCTCACGTCCTGAGACCCCGCCCGCGATATGTGCCCAAGGTTCCTACCACTCCGTTTTAATACGAGGAAGTGAGCCTGCAAGCGCTGCCCTCGGAGGAGGCAGACCCAGCCCTTCTTATTGTCCAGTTCGCGTTTTGCGTATTATCCGGACCGCACTCAGAGTTTAGATCATCTGAGCAGCTCTTCGTCTGTTATAGCGGTCGGCAGCAGGGAAGTGCCGTACCGAAATAAGTTCCCACTAGATTATGGATGCCTTTCTTTCACTATCAGAACCGAGATGCGCCGCGTCCCCCGAGAGCGCGTGCACGCGGCGCCCCTCTAACAGACATCTGTAGAGCTGCGGGCTGGGTGACACCCAACACATTTGCAAGGTTTTACAATCTGCGAGTGGAGCCGGTTTCCTCAAGGGTATTAGGTAACCCTTGGTGATTGAGGAAACAATTCGGTAGGGTGTTGAAACACGCTTGCTGCGCCATTTTCCCTAACACGGAGATACGTGCGCCTTTTTATCTGTCAGTAAAGTTCCCCGTCAGGTGAGCCCTGCAGATTCCTCCGTGGCCCCCAGCACTGACTCAGCGGAGGAGTCACTTGCTGGCCCACTACGTTGTAGGTCTGCCCGCTGGTCAGCCCGCGTTTTGGGTAAAGGTGCCTGCTATGCGTGATCCCCACTAGGCGATCCCATATGCTTATTCCGCCACGGTTAAGTCCCCCCCCCCCTGGGCGGACCCGTGTCTTCCCTCCCCGCTAACCACTCTTTTGCTATGCGTACTCCCCCTTTTTAGGGCTAGTCCATATGTAAATTCTGCCATCTATCCCCCCTTGGGTAACGGATGGTCTCCGCAGCGTCCTCCCTATCGGGATTGCACGCTTCCCCACGTACTGTCGTATTTTCCTAGAATTATCTAGATGCTCACGACTTCCCAAAAAATATATATAAATCCGTAAAACTTCTGTTGAAGTAGGATAAATTAGGGCCAGGGACACGTTGGAGGACCGCGCCCCCCATGATGTGGGTGCGTCACGCTTGCTTGACTATCTCCTCATCGGGGGTGTTGGTAAGGTGCAGTCATTATGGCGCTTTCAATGGGCTCCCAATGCGTGGATTTTACAATCAAATCCACTTATAGTGCTGAAGTTCCCCCCGAAGGGGAACGTTCGAGGTTACTAAGGTAACCCTTCGTTCCCCGAGGAGGGGAACGGAAGCACTATACTCCGTCGCCATAATGACTGTCCCTTAGCTGTTGAAAGTCTCTTCAGCTTAAAAAGGATAGCGTCTGCTGGCGCCAGGTGAGCTTATATACTCAGTTGATTGCTTATGCCGCTCACCTGCGCAGGCTTGCGCTGCCAATTCATTCTTAATTGGCCCGTTCAATACTCTTTCAGACGAGTAGCTTCTGAATCGAACCTCCCCAATGCGTGGATTTTACAATCAAATCCACTTATAGTGCTTCCGTTCCCCTCCTCGGGGAACGAAGGGTTACCTTAGTAACCTCGAACGTTTTTAATTTTCTTAAACACCATTTTAAGATCAATATTATTAGCACTTTTAAGCTATATATATATATATATATATATATATATATATATATATATATATATATATATATATATATATATATATATTTTTTTTTTTTTTTTTTTTTTTATAGTCTACAGAACAAACCATCGTTATACAATAACTTGCCTAATTACCCAAACCTGCCTAGTTAAATATCTAGTCAAATATTATTTACTGTCATCATGGCAAAGATAAAATAGATCAGCTATTAGAAATTAGTTATTAAAACTATTATGTTTAGAAATGTGTTGAAGAAATCTGCTCTCTGTTAAACAGAAATTGGGGAAAGAATAGACAGGGGGGCTAATAATTCTGACTAAACAGAAGAAAGAAACTCAAACAGGTTTTAAACAAGTGGCGGATGAGGAATTTTCAGTATTTAACTGTCCCTTTAACATCTTTTACGTTTAGATGAGCATATATGAGGTTTGTGTTTATAATTTCCACATAAAATCAGAAATCAGGAAAGTAAAATTAATGACCTTCAAGTTTTTTGGCAGGAGATTTCTCAGGGTCTTTTTCATCGGGTTTGGTCTTCTCCGGAGATTTTGGCTTGAGGACGGTTGATTTCTCACTCAGTACAGTTCTGGAGAAACAACATTTATCATATGATCTACAGTACATGATAAAATCACACATAAACTGCTATTATATACAGCATTTCATAAGAAAAGTTGCATTTTTATATGATAAGGAATGCTAGTATGAACTTAAAGGCACAATATGTATGATTTTTCATTAAAATATGCAAAAACCACTAGGACAGTGTTATATATTTTGCTGTCTTATGTACATACATTATCCAAACTAATTTTTTGTAGAATATTGACATTGAGATAGATTTAATGTGTGTTGTGTGTTCATGCTAATGTCATCACACACATTTCTGCTTTGGTTTTCTAGAAAACAGAGAAACAGCAGCGAGGCTTTAATATGTTGTGTGTTTTATTCAACTGCACATAGCAGCATTATAACAGAAGCCTAACATGTATTTAGTCTGATAAAAAAGGGCTGCTTCTCCATGTGACTACAAGATAAAGAACCAGAAGAGTAGGACTATGGCATAATAAAAGCTCTGCTGCTTTCCTCTGCTGAATGGTTAATACTAATAGTGTTGAAGAACTTTACTCATCAACATAAGTCCTGTAGAATAAAGAAGACCACAACTCCCATGATTCCACACTCAGGGTGCTTTCACACCTGTGAACAGATTCATTTGTCCTGAAAACAGGGATTAAATTGCTTCATTGTTGCTCTTTGTTCTTGGTGCGGTTCTAAAACAAGTCATGTGTGAATAAACTCTCCTCACATTGGTCAGAGTTTCACGTTTTATTTTGAAGAGTTCTGTTCAGCTGTCAGGGGGGCTGGGGGTTTGGTGGTGTTTGACAGGGTCCGCGCAACGTGTATGAAGACTAAAGAGTGAGGAGGGATGCGGTGGGGAGGGTTGAGAAGGGTGTGCAACGTATTTGTGGACTGGGAAGGTCCTCTGTGCATTTACTGGAGACTTCCGGAAGACTTGGGATGTCTGAAATGACCTCCCGCCCTACTCATAATTCTGTCTTTATATAGCCGTATGCCTATTACATATCCATAAAACACTGTGATATAGCCGGGCTCGGATCGTATCGCTTTCTCACTACAATGGATTTGCTCCAGAATTCATTTAAATCAAGCCGAGACCACCTCATTCAGGCGATCTCAGACCGATTGTTTAGGGGCGGATATGAGCGTGATTGCTGTATTCACATATGCCAAACAAACAGTGCTAACTCGGCAAACGAGACATTTTTCGAAACAAAAGTCTAGGTGTGAAAGCACCCGTCACACAGTCATCAAACTACACCTTTGTTTGTTGTGAATAGTGATAAAAGCTACATACTGCACCTTTAAATATTTAATCGGTCACACTTAGCAATAAGATTTCATTAACCTCTTAAACCCCAGTGCTATTTTGAGATTTCCACCTGGATTTTAAAAGCTTCCAAAATCCACACGCAGAGGTGTAAATGCAAAAATTTGGTATCATTTTAAAGAAAACCCTTTGAATTTTCATAAAGCACTATAGAAAGTGTTTAAAATAACTTTATATGATATCTGTGTTACACTGGAGCGTTTTAAAGTCGTGATTCATCAGCGGATCACTCATATGTCAGCTTATAGACAAATCAGCTGATGGATGTGACTTTAAAACACAGTGTCCCAGTATATGTGGTTACACTCAGTAAACAGCGGTGAGTTCGGTAAACTGATGACCTTCACGACCAATTGCAGTCATTTCTGTTGAGCATGTGAACACAATGGCAAATCAGCGCTGTTTAAGAAAGCGCTCAATGGCGCTCAAATGTTAAATGCGTGAAATGGACGTTTTTAAACAGAATCACAGGCTCGTTCTGAAAACATCGTCCCGTGGACGTTTCTGGAGACCGCGAATTATGTAGCTGGAGGTACGTATGGTATGGCTGCATTAAAAGAATTTTTAAAAGAACGCTACCTGTGGAGGGCTTTCCCACCGCAACCAGTTTGTCCAGTTAGCTCGTCGTTTACATCAACGGACTTGAGACGCCAGACGACGATGGCGGGATTCGAGTCCAGGAAAGTTCCAGAAATCAGGTAAGACAAAAACAGAATCCAAAAAATAAAATGAATGAGTGAATAACAGGGTGAGAATGTGGTAAAATCCAAAATCATGGTAAAAATCAGACTAAGGCTTTTCTTTTTCTGGACGGCTTTTGAAAATCATTGGTTGGATTTAGGAAAGTAAGTAAGTGGGCGGTTTAATCAAAAAATTGGTTGGGTTTAGGGAAAAAGGAGGGTGGGTAACTTAAGCGTGTACAGTAGGCGCAAACAGCACTAGAGGGAGAACTTACTCGAGAAATTTGAGATCTGAAAAAGTGTACACAGAGGCCTTTTGTGGATTTGCGAAAACAAAAAATGCAATAATAAGTACCTCCCGGGATGTATTTCGCAGTGTACAGAAACGTCCATGGCACTACGCTTTCAGAATGAGCCTGGGTTGTTTTTAAAACTTCAGTATTGATTGGTACCGAATTCCAGTATCGTGACATTATAAAAGCACATTTAAGACACTTCAAGACTTAATGAAAAGGAAAACAAACTGTAGAAACAAACAAAACAGCAATGTGTTGAATGCAACATATAATGTCTAGGGCAGGGGTGCCCAAACTCGGTCCTGGAGGGTTGGTTTTCTGCAGAGTTTAGCTCCAACTTGCTTCAACACACCTGCCAGGAAGTTTCTAGAATAGTTAGAGCTTAATTAACTGGTTTAGGTGTGTCTAATTAGGGTTGGAGCTAAACTCTGCAGGACACCGGCCATCCAGGATTGAGTTTATACACTCCTGGTTGTATAAACTCAGAGCAAATTAAATGAGCATATCTCACCTAGCAGCTCCACGACCTGAATGAGCACAGAAGTGGGCACCGTGTCCAGCTCATCCTCAGAGCGCTCTAAGGTTTCTCCTACACTGTAGGTTAGCAGCTGTTCAGCGAAGACCATCGCCAATGGAAACTTAAAAAGCAACAAGTGCAACACCAGCACTGCTCTAGGAGGGGGAGACACGCCTGTGGACAGAAATATATATATGAGCTAAAGTCAGCAGGAATGGTCTTAATGAATCTGATTGTTCACTTAGAGAATGCAAAATAATGCAGATCACTGTTAAAATAAAACAGATGTACAGTGGGGAAAATAAGTATTAAACACGTCATGTTTTTCTAAAGGAGCTGCTGACATGGAATTGAACCAGATTTAGGTAAAAACCCAAACAATACAAACATAAACATAAAACAAAACCAAAAAATATGAGTTTTGTGTAATAACAATGAAATGACACAAGGAGAAAGTACTGACCTGTTGAAACGTATTTAATACTTTATATAAAAGGATTTTTTTGGTGATCGCAGCTTAAAGACGCCTCTCACATGGAGACTGAAGCCTCATGCGTTGCTCAAGTGTGAGTTTCTCATAGACTTCAACAGAGTGTAAAAATCTTGATGCTTCTGTGGGTCTCGTCTATTAAATCTGAGCTTTATTTTATGTTTTCTATTGAATTTGGTTCAGGTGATTGGCTGGGCCATTCTACAGCTTGATTGTCTTTCTCTGAAAGCATTTGAGAGTCTCCTTGGCTGTGTTTAGGATCATTGTCTTGCTGAAATGTCCACCCTGGTTTCATCTTTATCCTCCTGCTAATGTAGATGTTAGACTGAAGCAGCTGATGTTCATTTACACTGAGGAAGGGCAGAAGGTTGCTAAAGAACTACTGAGAGATTTCAGCTGCTGTCTGGGCTTTCCAAGTCTTTTTACACCTAATTTCTTCGTGTGTTCGATTATTTTCCCTGTGTTGTTTCATTTTATTGCACATCATTTAATGAATAAACAAATTGGTTATATTTTCTTTGTATATATGGATTTCTTTAGTTGTTACCGACATGCAGTGAACATTTCAAGTCTCCAGCACCGTTAGAAATATGACTTCTGAGAAAAATGGTGACGTGTTCAATACTTATTTCCCCCACTGTATGTAAGAGATTGTGACGTGCCCAATTTGTCGTGCACTTTGTCGGTGGGGATGATGATGCTAGGATACTGGTTGGCTGTGGGTGGAGAAGTGAGGCCGGTGTTGGACGGAGAGGCCTCCAGCGGGAAACACTCGGCCTCCATCAGGTTCAGCTGGCCATTACGCTGCACTTTATGACTGAATCCATACACCATCACTTAAGCCCATGGAGCTTTGAACAGAGAGGAACTAAGAGAGAGAAAAAATTTAATTAGCATTATCAAATATTTGTACAGGCGGTTCATTCCGCTGTGGCGACCCCAGATTAATAAAGGGACTAAGCCAAAATGAATGAATAAATGAATATTTGAACACAAAATGTCCTTAACACAGGGACTACTGTATTGGTCATAGCGGTCATTCTTACCTTTCTCATGTTGAACATCACATTCATTTCTATAACTGTGCATTCACACCGAAGAAGGTGGTGAGAACGTCAAATGTTGCCGTTGCAGCATATCATATCATATCAGTTACATTACCACATAAAACATGCTTTCTAGCGTGAAGATGTTGCACACTTTTTATCAAATTCAATAAACAATGGAAGATCAAGTTTGTGGTGTGGCTTTGCTTTACTTAATTTTCCAACATGTCCATATGTCTGAAATATCCTGAAGCAGCAATACTGTTCTGTTTTGTCGCATGAGATTCTCGCTTTTTTTAAAGAAAAATAAATATATATATATATATCATTGATGCACATCAGAAACTCGCCAGTAACTTTTTTAATGTATGTTCCTGTAAGAAAAACATTGGAAATAATTGGAAATCTGGCGTAATAATCAAAGCCTTGGGAACAAGTGTGGTCGGAACCAAAGTTCACAGATTGTTTTCTGGACTCTTCTCAATCGGTGAATTTCTACATTCTGATTGCTTGCCGCCGAACCGCGTCATTGCTCATTATCATAAAGTTGACTTGATTTCAACGCTCCAACCCTCACAGTAATGCAAAAACAGTAATTACACAGTGTATAATTCATATTATTTATCAAACTGCCCATTGATTTATCAAACTGCATATTGGTAAAATATTAATGTTGTATCAAAATTAGCTCCGTTTATGAATATTTTAATATTATTAATTATTAATATTCCGGCTCACCCTTCTGTCAATTTGGTTAAATATATATATATATATTTATAATTCTGCCCCCCTCGTCCAAGCGCACTCTGAGATTATGAATATTTATTATCAATAATAACAAATTATTATTAATCATTCATATTCTGAATTAACTTATTGTTAATTTGAGCAAATACATATAACCAGACCTCGCCCGCTTGCCTGAGCGGACTCTGTAATAATCTATTTATTTAGAAAGGGAATTATTACTACTTCTTGTGAAGTAGATCAATCATTTATAAGTTTTAATTAACTTATTATAGCTTGTAGCAAGGAATCAATTGTTTCAGTGACTTTTTCTGTGAGGCAAACAATACAATCCAACGTGATTATAAGAATATTTATTGACTAGTCTGACATATAACAAACAAACGCACAAACATAGAACAAACGTATACTGAAGATATATAGGCTATATATGGATCTATAGAACATATAAAAAACAAAAAGAAACAGAAAAGCGAGGAATTAGAGAGTTTAGGTGAAAGAATGGCAAATCTACCTCAGTTCCACACAACTATTCAGGACCACCAAGATTACAAAAAACACATTTTTGATGAGGGGCACAGGCTTAACGCATAACCAAATACCTGGAGTTTTAGGATTTTTCTGTCTCTCTCTTTTTGCGAGTTTCTTCTTATGCGCTGGGGTACGGAGTCCTTTGATGTCCTTTCTTGATGCGTGGAGTTTGCAATGCAGGTCGGAGGATACACGATCGCAACTTAAAACTGAGTTTTACTTTGCTGAAAAAATAAGAAAACGTGGGCTCGGACGAGCCATGCAGTTACAGAAATGCGGTTTGCCCCCTCAAACCTTTTGAAAAGCTTCTTTTGGATCTTCTGCGCAGAGTTGTGCGCGCAGCTGGGTTTTAAACTGTGGTGGCATGTCAACTACTGACTGACCAATGGTCTCCTGGCAAAGTTTGAGCGGGAGATTTTCTTTGTCTCTGGACCGCTAATATGCAAAATAAGGATCCGCCCGAAAGCATGCGAAGAGACATTAACTCAGAGCATTAAATCATTTAAGCTGTATAGATTATGATCACGCGCTACGCATCATGTGTTGTAAAATGGCAGGAGAAACCTAACGGTATTAAACACGACAGTTTTAAGAAATACATCAACATGATTCACATATTCTTAGCTGGTATAGTGTCTTAAAAAGGGCACGAGAGAGAGATTCACATGATAGAAACGTCCTAAATGAAATACAAAGTTTACAAACACATAACATTTACTTTTGGGCTGATTCAGGATTTCTGAGTCCATTTCAGCGTCGGGAGCCTTGTGTGTGTGTGTCCTTGTGTGTCTCGGGAGGAAGGGGGGACAGGAATGTCTTTTGAAGTTTAGGCAACCATCTCTGGCTTACCTCTAGATAAGTGAGGTGTCACACAGGCACAGGCTTTGTGGCACCAAGAGTCATAAACCCACACAGAGAAGACTTAGACCCCTTTATAAAATCAATACGTAATTTTATCTACGGACTGTATGTTACATTGTCTACCCTTACCCCAACCTCCCAGTAATGCAAAAACTGTAATTATTGTTGTACAGTATCATAAAAATGATGCTATATAAATGTGGGAATCCACAGCTGTATCCCTTACTGTGCTCTTAACTCACTCTTTGAGTTGACTCTCTTTGCAGGAGACGAGCCGGAAAAGTTGACGTCCATGCTGACTTTTGACTCGGTGATGGGTATCTCCTCCAGCGTAAACTGCTCAGGCGCACTCTGGAGTACAGAGAAGATGTATTCAGCAAAAAAACATGTTAAGCATATTTTCACCAAATACACAAACATGTACATACTTTAGTATACAGGGCTGTACTAATGGGCCCACAGTGTGCCAAGAAAATATCCCCCACACCATTTCACCGACACCAGCAGCCTCAACTGCTGATACAAGGCAGGATGGATCCATGCTTTATTGATGTTGATGCTAAATTCTGACCCGACCATCCGAATGTGGCAGCAGAAATGGAGACTCATCAGACCAGGCAACGTTTCTCTAATCTTCTATTGTCCAGTTTTGGTGATCCTGTGTGAATTGTAGCCTCAGTTTCCTGTTTTTAGCTGACAGGAGTGGCACCCGGTGTGGTCTTCTGCTGCTGCAGAACATCCGCCACAAGGTTGGACGTGTTGTGCATTCAGAAATGCTCTTCTGCAGACCTCGGTTGTAACAAGTGCTTATTTGAGTTACTGTTTTCTATCAGCTGGAACCAGTCTGGCCATTCTTCTCTGACCTCTGACCGCTCGCTGGATATTTCCTCTTGTTCGGACCATTCTCTGTAAACCCCAGAGATGTTTGTGCGTGAAAATCCCAGTAGATCAGCAGTTTCTGAAATGCAGTTTCTGGCACCACCAACCATGCCACGTTCAAAGCCACTTAAATCCCCTTTCTTCTCCACTCTGATACTCGCTTTGAACTGCAGCAGATCGTCTTGACCATGTCTACATGCCTAAATGCATTGAGTTGCTGCCATGTGTTTATAAATTTACACTAACAAGCAGCTGGACAGGTGTACCTAATAAAGTGGCCGGTGAGTGTATATTGAAAAAACATGTTTGATGTTTATGGAGTGTTAAACTTCAAATGTGAAGGTCATGTAACGCGTTTTGTGTTTTCACAGTCTCCCGAATTCCCGAGAACCTGTTTTAAAACGATGATGATGATGATGTGTATATGTGTGTGTGTGTGTGTGTGTGTGTGTGTGTGTGTGTGTGTGTGTGTGTGTGTGTGTGGTACCTGCAGGAAGCAGCAGATCTGTTTGGTGAGCTCCAGCAGACTGTTCTTCCCCTGATGCAGACCTCTGCTAATGGCCATGCTCAGCCACTCGTGGACACTCTGAGCTTTTCCCTGATAGAAGAGCCCGG